ATTTTACCGAAGCAAACTTGTACATGATTACTAACTATTCTTTCAGAACAAAGCACTGGATAATGTCAAGTCTACTGCTGGGAGTAAAGCAGCTTCAGCAACTCCATCTTCAAGAGCTTCAAGCGTTGCTTCAAATGCTTCCAGTCCAGCACCAGCTTCGGCTTCGAAGAGCAAGTCTAAGGGTAGAAAGAGATGAAGATGTAGATGAGGACGAAGAAATCGAGTCAAAATAGCTCGGTGTGTTACTATTACGAAAAGGAACTTGTCATGTGTATTCATCCAGAAGGCATGGCTTTGGGTAGGGCGTTATGAGGATTAATTGCTATGCGCTTCGTCATCATAGAGGTCAAGAATGCGTAGTTTTAGATGGATATGTTTACATCATGATATGTAGACAAGTTGTGAATGATTGAATTCCACAAGAATTACAAAATATACTGTTATAAAATACCACAATACATCATCTTTTTCTTTATTACGACTTTATAGACTATTTGGAGGTGAATTCCATTGATCCGCTAGCTGGCATACTTTTCGACCCTCGATTATCTTAAACATACTATTTAGGGTCCTCATGATCGCCTTCATATACCTAAAAACTCCAATATGCAATACAAATTGGTATACACACACAAACACACATAATCCGAACCGACCACCGAAAATTAGTACGAACCTCTAATCTCTAGCATTTATCTTACGTAATGCAAAAATTTAAAAGCACCCCACCATACATCCCACCAACGACGAGCGATCTTTTTCTTGAGCTTTTATGAGAGTCTTGATCAATATTTACGCATATTCTCTAGAAATTCGAGGTTGTCGACATAGTATTTCGATACGTGAGTGCTATTCTCTTCTCTACAGAACTTGTAACTGATCCTCATGATTTATTAGCAACCTTTGATCTAAAATTCTAGTCAGCTTTTGACTAGCACAGCACAAATCAAAAAGATCATACATAGGTACTTGAAGTTTGAAAGAGATTTGAGTTAGGAAAGTTCCTAGTATCTGTAAATAATTTACATTCAAACCCTCAAGTTTCCATCAGAAGAAAAGAAAGATGTCACCCCTTTCCAAATTCGACGGGTTAGAGCTCCCTGCTGCGGCAGATTTTCACGTACATCTACGAGATGGAAAGATGATGGAGACAGTTGTTCCAACCATTAAGTTGGGAGGAGTGGATACCGTAAGTGGTTTTCTATATAGAAAGAGTTTTCGTTTCATTCAGATTTCGAAAGTTTCTCTTCTCGACCACAAAGTCCAGATTATTTAGTTTTTTCTCTGATTTGCTAAACTATCATACAATAGGTCTATGTAATGCCCAATCTCGTTCCACCCGTTACTACAGTGGCTGCAGCTCTGGCCTACAAAGAACGTCTTCTTGCCATCGAGCCAAATGTCAATTATCTCATGACTCTTTATTTACACGAGAGTATTAGCCCTGAAACTGTTCGAGAGGCTAAGAAGGCGGGAATTGTGGGAATTAAAAGTTATCCAGCTGGTTCGTGTTTTTCCTCCAAATTTCTAGTGACCCGGACTGCAGTTTGATGATTAGAAGCTTTCAGTCTTTGGAAGTAATACAACATTCAAAGAGTAGGGAGTTTGAAATACTCTTTACCTTGGATAATGTATTGCTTTCAAGTATCGAGAACTTACAATCTGCCAATTCCCCAGTCCAGACTAATAAATACTCTACTCCATCTATTTCCCTTTCAGAAATAGACTTACATTAATAAAACTAACCAAACACAGGCGTAACAACCAATTCCTCCTCAGGCGTCATCTCCTACGAACCTTTCTACCCCGTCTTCGCCGCCATGGCTGAAGAAGGACTCGTCCTCAATCTCCACGGTGAATGTCCCTCTGACCACAAAAAAGACATCACCATCCTCAACGCCGAAGCTTCATTCCTCCCCACCCTCCTCTCTCTCCACCGCCAATTCCCCACCCTCAAAATCGTCCTCGAACACTGCACCACCGCCGCCGCCATCCACACCGTCAAACAATGCGGTCCCAACGTCGTCGGAACAATCACCGCTCACCACCTCTTCCTCACCATCGACCAATGGGCCGACGACGCTTTCCACTTCTGCAAACCGGTGGCGAAATTACCCAGCGATCGGACCGCGCTGCTCGTCGCCGCAGTCGAGGATTCCGAGAAATTCTTCCTCGGCACCGATAGCGCACCCCACGATATCGGCGCCAAGAAGGGCGGAACGGGAAAGACGGCCGCGGGAGTGTTTACGCAGGCGCATGCGGTGGGTCATGTGATTACGGCGTTGGAAAGGGGGGTGGAGATGGGGGTTTTGAGGGAGGAGGATGTGACGAGGGAGATTTTGGAGGGATTTTTGGGGAAGAGAGGAAGGAAGTTTTATGGGATTGCGGAGGCGGGGACGGGAGAGGGACAGAGAATTGTGTTGCGGAATGGAGAGGAGATTGTGAGAGCGAGTTTTAAGGGGGAGGGAGTGGAGGTTGTGCCGTTTTGGAGGGGTCAGAAAATTTGGAGTGTGCAGTGGAAGTAGATGTTTGGTGTATATGTATATGCGAGAGAGAAATATTCAACCCTTCAAAACACATGTCCTTAATGTTTCTCTATTGAAGAAACTCCTCCTCCTACCCTCATTCATTCATTCATCCATCCATCCAACAAAACTCCCCACCCAGTAAAAGCACTACACATCAAACCCCCAAAATCCAAAACTCATAACATAAACCATAAATAGATACCTACTCAGTACACTAGGTGATATAAAAGCCTAAAGTTTCATCTCACATCTCAAATTTTACAAGAAATATTCGTATCCTTTCCTTTCCCTCTTTTTCTATCTCTATCTCTATCTCTATCTTTAATCTTAACTATAATATACATTCTACTAGCTCTCATTCTACTAACTCTGATTTGAAATATAAATATAAAATATAAAATATAAAATATAAAATATAAAATATAAAATATAAAATATAAAATATAAAATATAAAATATAAAATATAAAATATGAAATATGAAATATAAAATATAAAATATAAAATATAAAATATAAAATATAAAATATAAAATAGAAAATATAAAGGATAAATAACTATTTATTTATTTATTTGTACTTTTATTCATATAAAATAAAAGTGTTATATCTTTTTACTATATTTTATTTTATAAAAGGGATGTTTTTTTTTCTAGGGATATAAAGATATAAAGATATATAGATATATAAGATACGATAGATGAGATAGATAGTATGAGAGATAAGAAAGAATAAGAAAGAGATCAAGAATATAAGAGATAAGAGATAGAATATAAGGATAATTTAAGATTTAAAATCTTTAATCGCTGTATTCCTTAATCTCGGTAATTCTCTTAATTCGTCTTTAATTCTCTTTAATTCTTTTAATTCTCTTTAATTCTCTTTATTTTTTTTTAATTTTTTTTAATTTTTTTAATTTTTTTATTCTCTTAATTCTCTTATTTCTCTTTATTTTTTTTATTCTTTTTATTTTTTTTATTTCTTTTTAATTCTCTTTAATTCTTTCTTTATTTCTTTTTATTTCTTTTTATTTCTTTTATTTCTTTTTATTTCTTTTTAATTTTCTTTAATTCTTTTTAATTCTCTTTAATTCTCTTTAATTCTCTTTAATTCTTTTTTAATTCTTTTAATTCTTTTTAATTCTTTTTAATTCTTTTTAATTTTCTTTAATTCTTTTAATTTTCTGGAAGGCTCGGGAATCGCTGTATTTGCGTTAAGTTTTTTGAATTCGTTTTATTTCTCGTTATTTCTTTTAATCTCTTTAATTCTCTTTATTCTCTTTAATTTTTTTAATTTTTTTTAATCTTTTTATATTCTTTTTAATTCTTTTTAATTTTTTTAATTCTTTTAATTCTTTTTAAATTCTTTTTAATTCTTTTAATTCTTTTAATTCTCTTTAATTCTTTTTAATTCTCTTTATTAATTCTCTTTAATTCTTTTTATTTCTTTTTAATTCTTTTATTAATTCTTTTTATATTCTCCTTTAATTCTCTTAATTCTTTTTATTTTTTTTATTTCTCTCTTATTTCTCTTTAATTTCATCTTTATTTCCTCCTTATTTTACTATTATCCCTTTATTACCCTTCTCTCAATCCTTCTCCCATCCTTCTCTCAATCCTTCTCTCAATCCTTCTCTCAACCCTTCTCTCAATCCTTCTCTCAACCCTCTACCAACCCTTCTCTCAACCCTTTACCAACCCTTCTCTCAATGCAAATACAAATGTAAAACCCAAGTCATACCAACCCCAACCCTAATCCTAATACTTGCATACACGCGCTATAATTTCTCCTCTTCTCTTCTCTCCTCTCCTTCCTCTCCTCTCCTCTCCTCTCCTCTCCTACCCACACCCCCAGTTCCCAAATTCCCACATCTCCTCTAATTCCTACACCTCCTTTCCTACACCTCCTTTCCCACACCTCCTCTCCCACACCTCTCCCACACCTCTCCTATATCTTTCCCATACCTTTCCCACACCTCTCCCACAACTCCTCCAATTCCCACAACTCCTCCAATTCCTACACTTCCTCTCCCCTACACCTCCCCCACACCTCTCCCATACCTTTTTCACACCTCCCATACCTCTCCCACACCTCTCCCCCATATCTCCCAAATTCCCACACCCCCAGTTCCCCAATTCCCCAATTCCCCCCCCCAATTCCCCAATTCCCAAATTCCCATCCTACATACAAAGAAATCCAAAAGACTACCTATATATCCAGCCGTCGATATTCTATCTATCAATATATCAATATATCTATATATCTATATACTAACTAACGCCTTGTCCCGATGTATATCCTAATACCTGATATCCTAATACCTGATATCCTAATACCTGATATCCTAATATCCTAGTTTCATAACTATATGGTTTTGTATATATGTATATGTATATGTATATATGTATAACATAACTATATATATACTTCCGAGGCATATTTAATTTTAATTTTAATTTTTATGCTCTGGGTTGGATGTTGATGTTGATGTTGATGTTGATGTTGATGTTGATGAGGATGAGGATGTTCATCGATGGATATGCATGTGCATGTGCATATCCATATCCGTGTGTTCCACTCACTCTATAATATGTATGATATTCCCAATTCCATCATCTTTTATCCCAAAGGAAAAGAAGAAGAAGAAGAAGTAGGCAGAAAAAAGAACCACCCCCACCGTGGAATCACAAACTAAACCAAACCAAACCTAACCTAACCAACCTAACCTAAACCACTTCCCCCGCCGTCTTCCTCCTCCCAAACCCCGGAATCGTCCTCTTCTTCCCACCCCGCTTCTCCTCCATCCCAACGGGCATAACTCCACTGGAATAAGCCTTCTTACTCCCCATCCTCCTCCCACTCTTCACATCCCTCCTACTAGCCCCACAACAACACATACCCACATGAATCACCCACGCGATAATCACACAGGAAGCACCGATCCACATAAACGCAAACATCTGGGTGCCCACACTCGCGCCAATATTCAAGCCCGCCTGACTCGTCACCGTGTTGCGGAAAATGATAAACATCACCGTGGCGATAATCGCCGCCGTGGTGACGAGAAGCGCAGAGATAAATGTCCAGATGGCGTAGAACCCGGATATCCAGCGGGAGTAGATGGTGAAGAAGGAGAGGAAGATGTTGCAGAAACTCATGACGACACCGGTGATGAAGAAGCCGAACATGATGTGACTGGCGATGCGGATGAGACTGAGGATATTGTTGATTTCAGCGGGAAGAGCAATGGTTGCGCCGGCGAGGAGTTCATTGAGGAGGATATCGACGGGGTTGAACCAGTAGAGGTTTTGGGGAGTGGAGCAAGCGGTGATGCCTTCATCGTTGTAGCCTTCGCAGAAATTCCAGAGGCCGACTTGGTAGAAATCGTGGAGGCCGAGGGAACGGGCGAGAGAGTTTTGCAGGGTGATGCCGCCGCCGACGGATTCGGGAATGATGTTTGTGAGGTCGAGTCGGAAGAACCAGGTATCGCGGATGACGGCACGGTTGTTTATATTGCCGATTATTGTCTGAGATTTGTGTGTTAGTATTAGAAGACGAGGGAGAAGATTGAGATATGGGGGGAATGGCAATGGCAATAGCAATGAGTGACAGTCAAGAAAACCAAAACTTACAAGAATTAAAAAGATGACGGCGATCAAATACAAGAAACTGGTGATGTAAATAGCTCTCTTCCTCGCCTTGGTAGCTCTCTTGATATCCACGCCGGCCGTCGAGACATGATTTGAATTGTCACCGGGAGTTAACGTTCGATCGGAACTTTTATCTGTGATGCGACCTTCTGAGGCTATGGTTCCTGTTTGTTGAGCTGGGATTGCTTCTTGATGTTTTCGATTGGGGAAGAAACCCATGGCGAGATTGGGTGGTGAGGTGAAGTGAGATGAGACGAGATGAGGTTATTGATTGATGTTGAATTGAGATGTGATGAGATGTGATGAGGGAATTGATTTGATGACTATCTCTTTGTACACTTTCACAAATCCTATCTATGTGGATAGATGGATATACAATGTGAGTGGGTGGGTGGGTGAGTGAGTGAGTGATAGACGACGACAGCAATGATCGAATAGCACAATCCAAAAGCCCAATCAATAAACCATCCAAAATCGATCCATCCACAAAATGAAAGACGGTAGAAGGATCCTAGGATAGATATCAGATAATCATCCACTGACGCTCTCCCAAGACACAAACAAGCCTACCTCACTCACACTTCCTCTATGCAATTCTTCACCAAAAGCTTGATTCTCCTTGACCCGTACCCAGTTTTCAGCGACGTTAGTGTATTAGTCGAGAATCGGCATGTATTGTACGAAGAAATGATAGTAATGATAATAAATAATAAATAATAAATAATAAATAATACCGTAAATGAATATTCCCAATGCTCACTCACAAATACAAGAATCGTCAGAATAAAATCAAATAATAAGATTGGAAACAAATTTAGATTTACCCTACGACCCATCTTATCGACATCATCGAAACCATGGTACCGACACCTGCTATCCACACACAGGGGGGCTTGGACATTTGCATGCATGGATTGACATTTTAGTATTTAGTAAAAGAGGGTACGGAGTCATCTTGCGCGTCGAGAACTGGCTGTTCGTGTTGGAGCTTGGAGGATGCTTGACAGTCAATCAATCAATTCTCGAGCATCTAGAGAGATCTGGAGTGATTGGAATGGCTTGAGGATTTGAAACTACGACTCTAGGTGATGGTTGGGAGGTTGGAGGTTGGATTTGTAAGATACAGCAAACAGATTTTTACGGAGTACAGACGAGACTTGGGAAACAGGCGAGACAGGGAGATGGTGAGAAGAGAGGAAAGAAAAAAGAAGAAGAAAAATACGCCGCTGATGTCGTTGTACATAAGTATTCATATGTATATACTCCGTATGTACGACAGTTTTCATCAATCTGGACTCTGGAGACCTTGAAATTATTCAACTAATAAAACTATTGAATTCTCCAAGCAAACTTTGAGAATCTACGAGTAGAGGAGTAGGGATAGATGTCGAATTTGTTGATTGATTACTGGTACCTAGTATGTATGTATGATATGATACACTTTTCAGAAAGCTTGGTGTTGTTGGTTTTGGTGGTGGTGGTGGATACGCTGGATACACTGTGAGAATTCTAGAATTCTAATTCTAGAATTGGGATGAAGAATACCTACCTACCTACCTACCTACCTAAGAATATGAAGAGCATAACGGATAGGAAGATTATCATTATCCCCTTGAACATCATGTTATTCAACTCCCAAGAACCGGAGTAATGGTGGTTCGATAGGTAAGCTTGAGAATGTAACACCTACCTAGTACCTATCTACCTACCCAGCCAGCCAGGACTCATCGATACGGTATTGAGCTTAGGTAGATTGAGGCGCAGCTTGAGGAGTGAGGAAGGCGGAAGGGGGGTTTCTCTCCGATGATAGCGGTAGAGATCTATAGGTCCAGAGGTCATTGACAAGATTGTGAATACGAGAATTGGGATATTTGGGATACCGATACGGTGGTGGAGGTAGTGTACTGTTTGTTTGTAAAAGAAGACCACCGGTACACTTGGCGGTTAATTAACGGATGAGTACTCTGTAAGGTTAGATGATCCTTGGTCTAGACAGATACTAGGGAGGTAACTGTGTTGTGTAAGTTTACTCCGTCCGTACACTTGTCTCGAGAGGAATTTCTTTTGACTTTTCCAAACTCGCACCAGAAGAGTTTTTTCTTTCCCTTCACACTTTAGTTATGCATTGGAATTTGGCGGGAGGATAGGATGCGATGGTATCTATCCTAACTAGACGATCAATCTAGACCCTTAATCAATCATGGTTTACCCTCTGCCGATGTTCTGCACCTCGTTATTTCAAGTGCTGAGGGAGGAAATGCCCGTAATCCTAGACTCGGATCTATGCAGGAAGATGAGGTTGGGTGCTTCCAAATGGATCCAATCCTTGAATAGCCGTCTTGGCCGTCTTGGCCGTGAGAGAAAGGAGGGGCGGGAATGAGGCTTGGACCATGGAATTGGGAGAGAAGGTGGGACTTTTGGTTTTCAGAAGAGAAGAGGTGAGAGGTATGCGAGGTGTGAGAGGGCGATGAGTCGATGACAAGAAGACCCAGAAAATTATGATGAGTTTTTGGAAACTCTATTTGATACAATTGTAAGACATTTGGATGATGTGGTGATGGACTGAAGGGTTTGAAGGGTAAGGGTTTGGGATTGGTTTGGAGATGAATTGTTATATTTGGAGATGAATTGTTATATTTGGAGTTGAATTGTTGTATTTGGAGTTGAATTGTTATATTTCGAGTTCATTGGAGATGAGATGTTTGTGTGTGATTTTTTGCATTAGTTTGACTGGCTGTCACCTTTTGCTTTTCTTCCTATGTAAGACTAATAAGCATGATGACAGGATGAATGATTGATTGAATGCATATGGATAACAGAATGAATGAATGACTGACTGATCGATCAATTGAATAGATGAATGGCCCGTACCCGTTCGCTTGGGACTACCCTTCCTCCTCCCTCCCTCCCTCCCTCCCGCTATGATTCAGGGACAAATGGTACCATAATCCATCGCACCAGTCAAGCACCAGTAGATCTACAAACCAAAGGAAGATCGATATTTCCCAAGAAAAGACTATTTTGGGGGGGATGAAAGCTAAGATTGTATACAGTTAGATTCCTCCTCTGGTCTACGGAATACTCCACCATTCAAATGCACTCGCCATCATCATCATCATCATCATCTAGTATCTAGAATCTGGTATCGTGCATCTAGTATCTAGAATCTATCTCCAACCGTATACTGGCGGTACGCACAAGTAGAAGATTTGTCAATGGTTACATCTTCAAGACTGTCAAGACTTATCGTACACGACTCTCAATTCCTCAAAGGGGGCTTATTTTCCCTTGGTATATTCGCCGAGTATCCGAAGCTATAGTAAAGTGGAATTGCGTATCCACTGTGGTGTCTGTTCTGTGTCTTAAAACAAAACAGACGTTCATTTTCTTCCAATGCGAGTGAGTCCCTTGAATCTTGACTAAGTTGAGCCCCTCCTACCTCCTCCCTCAACTTTCAAGCCTCTTGCATTTCAATATCTACGAAACGAAAGAGAGGTGAAGAAAGAAAACGTACACGGCACACGAAAATAGAAAATAGAAAACAAAACCACTCGATAACGTCATTCATTGCCTTGCCTTTCTTGCCTGCCTTGCCTTTGGAACAACTTCATTTTTTCCTTCTTCAACCGTGCCACCTTATCGTAGTTACTGGGTATTTATTATTCATCTATCCAAGTACTTACTACTCCTATTTTGGACATCTATTCATCAAGATTCAATGTTTGAGCATTCATTCCAAATTAGGTAGTATTGTGCCCTTCACACACCTTTTCCTCGACTCGACTGCTTCCTACAGAGTAATTCTTTTTCTGACGTCGACTTGTGAAATCCCAGTCCCACCTTCACCATCCCAAATTCCTATCGCTATCTAAACTTTTTCCCCAAACTTCTCGAATACGAGTTATACCTACCTCTTCCCCCCCCCAAAGCTTCTCCACTCGCTTGAATCTTCTCTCTACCTTGAATACATTCACCATTCCATCTACTGATCTGCCAAAGTGATTAGGCGTCAAAGGAATCACTGCAGAATCACAGGAGGAAAAATGTTGTTTTCTCGCCTCTTTTCGGTCAGTTTACTGGCTGCGGGAGTGCATGCTCAAGCAACGTCAGAAAGTACTTCGAGTTTGAGTTCGAGGTCAAGTTCGAGATCTAACACAGATTCCACATCAACGGAGACTGATTTAACGACAATAACGGGGTCGGAATTAAGAACTCCCACAGGATCTTATCTTTCTCTTTCCACTACAATTACACTTTCTACATCTTCATCCCCTGTATCGACTAAAGCTATAATCTCGACTTCAACTGGTAGCACCACCACTCGCACCACGACTTTGGGGTCAACTACAATCTATGCATTGGGCACAGAGACGTTGACCGGAAATGCAACAGAATCAACCAGTTCCGCTACGCAGATTGTTCTGACGGGTGGAGGACGTCATACCACCACCACTGCCATCAATGGAACATCCAATTCCACAGCCACATCCACCTCCAGCTCTGCCGTAGCAACTAACACCACTCCCTGTAACAACTATGTTGAATTTTGCGACCGCAGTTACGGAAACATCACCGAAGTATCCGCACACAATTCTCCCTTTGTGAGAAGTGGTAGCGCGGCTGCAAATCAAGCATTGGATGTGACAACCCAACTCAACGATGGCATCAGATTATTACAGGCTCAGATTCAATGGAATGGAAGTATTCCACATTTCTGCCATACTTCCTGTGATATATTGGACGCCGGTCCGATCACAACGTATCTGAGCGAAGTCTACGATTGGGTGCAAGCCCACCCCTTCGACGTCGTCACCATTCTCCTCGGCAATGGAAATTACTCCAAAGTCGACAAATACGTTCCCTTTATCGAAGAATCCGGTCTCCAAAACTTCGCATACGTACCCCCCAAGATTCCCATGGCGCTAGACGATTGGCCCACCCTCGCCAGCATGATTCTCAGCGGCAAGAGAGTCGTCTTCTTCATGGACTACGAAGCAAACCAAACCGCCTATCCATGGATCCTCGACGAATTCACACAAATGTGGGAAACGCCTTTTGATCCTACCAATCGCTCATTCCCATGTACACCACAACGCCCACCCAATCTTCTCGATTCCGATGCGAAATCGCATATCTACATGACGAATCATAATTTGAACTACGACATCAATCTCCTGGGCATTTCACTGTTGGTCCCATATCAAAATTTGCTGAATGAGACGAATAATTCCACGGGATATGGATCGTTGGGAATGAATGTCGAGCAATGTGTGCAGGATTGGGGATTTCCACCAAAATTCCTGAATGTAGATTTCTACAATGTGGGACAAGGAAGTGTGTTTGAAGTCGCCGCTGAGTGGAATAATGTCACATATAATCGAGAATGCTGTGGTAGTTCGGCGAAGAGTGATGCGGGAAGGTTGGATGTGGTAGGGAGAAGTGCAGTCATGCTTGTGATGGGTGTGCTGGGTTTCATGTATTTTGGATTGTGATGTGAGGTGAGGGATCGAATGTGATTTCAGGATGTATGTGTGTATAGATGGTATAATGATTGTTGATATCAGTGCGGTTTTACTTTGATATTCTGGATGGTTGGATAATGCTTTGCACTGCACTGCATTGCTTTGTATTACTTTGCTTTGTATTGTATACATGGAATGGCGTTTTGGATATCTATCTAGCTTGGAGACTTGGATGCTTGAAGCTTGCTTGCATGGGAAATTATGAAATAGATTATTGGTATTAGGTACGTAGATGGGATGGATATATAAAAGATATGTAATCATTGGAATACTTTTTGATGAGTTTTTTTTATGAGTGTGAGTGTGAGTGTGAGTGTGAGTGTGAGTATATTATTGATCTTACTTTTGAAAACTTGTAGTGTTGATGTTGATGTTGATGTTGATATTGGGATTGATAGTGATAGTGATGGTTATATTGATATTAATAGTGATATTAATACTAACAATCGTTTTCTCTCCTCTATTCTCCTCTATTCTCCTCTACTCTTCTCTATTTTCCTCTACTCTTCTTTACTCTTTTCTACTCTCCTCTACTTTCCTCTACTTTTCTCTATTTTTCTCTATTCTTCTCTATTCTCCTCTATTCTTCTCTACTCTTCTCTATTCTCCTTTACTTTCCTTTTCTCTTCTCTATTCTTCTCTACTTTTCCTTTTCTCTTTTTTTTCTTTTCCTTTTCTCTTTCTTTTCTTTTCTTATTCCCTTTTTATTCTCTTCTTCTTTCTATCTATCTATTTATCTATCTATCTATTTATTTATCTATTGGATTGGGTTGAATTGAGTGTTTATATTTTGAGAAGATAAGAGAAGAGAAGAGAAGAAGAGAGGAGAGAAGAGGAGAGGAAAGGAGAGGAGAGAAGACAAGAGGAGAGAAGATAAGAGGAGAGAAGATAAGAGGAGAGAAGAGAAGACAAGAGGAGAGAAGAGAAGAGGAGAGGGTATGGGATTACTAGTTGTTGTTTATTGTGAACTTATCTGTTATATCTATATCTATTTAGATTGTATAGTATTATTTTTATAAAAATATTTTTATACTGATTTGATATTTGATTTATACTGGGATGGGATGGGATGGGATGTATTATAGAATAGATAGGTAGGTATATAGATAGATGTATAGTATTGAGATTGAGATTGAGATTGAGATATTAATAGTATAAATATAATATAATAGTATGAGATAAGAAGAGAAGAGAAGACAAGAGGAGAGAAAAGAAGAGGAGAGGGTATGGGATTACTAGTTGTTGTTTATTGTGAATTTATCTGTTATATCTATATCTATTTAGATTATATAATATTATTTTTATAAAAATATTTTTATACTGATTTGATATTTGATTTATGCTGGAATAGAATGGGATGGGATGTATTATAGAATAGATAGATAGGTATATAGATAGATGTATAATATTGAGATTGAGATTGAGATTGAGATTGAGATTGAGATTGAGATTGAGATTGAGATATTGATAGTATAAATATAATATAATAGTATGAGATGGGAAGAGAAGAGAAGAGAAGAGAAGAGAAGAGAAGAAAAGAAAAGAGAAGAAAAGAAAAGAAAAGAAAAGAGAAGATGACAATACAGATGATACAGATGATACAGTACGGATATAAATCGCAATATCCCTCTCTAAATTTCAGACAAGTTTCACAACCCACCTTTCATTACTCAAAAGATAAGAGCAGAGCAATACGAATTTAAAAATCACGAAAGAATCCTCTTATTACCTACTATCACCCCTTTATTTTGTATCAATTAATAGGTATATAACCGAGAATATTACCTATCTACCTACCTAGATATATAAAGATACTATAAAAGGGGTATATAATTTCAATATCCAATCCATATATATATATATTATAATAGATTAGATTAGATTAGATTGAAAATCAAGTAAAATTCTTTCCATCCATCCATACCATCAATCTCTACCCAACAGCCGCAGATTCTAATCACTTTTGTTGTATATCTATACAATATCTTCTGCAGATATACCTACCGTAGAATAAAGCTCACATGATCTCCGAGATAGACGATTAATCATAGCTAGCTGTAAGCCAAATCATTCCTTGCTGTACAATATTTGAAAATCTGTATACATCGTGGTATTTCTATCAAGTACGGACTGGGATAGAGATATCCTTGGTATGTGATGTAAGACTTACGTTCCTGAAATACTCATTAAGTCGGGTACCCTACTTTCGGGCCACCCCCCTTTTGGGCCACCCTTTTACACCAAAAATCACTTTTTAGACCTATTAATATCTCTATTAATATTCAATATAATTTGATAAAAATTTGTATATATATAATTTAGATCGATTTAAGCTTATTTTAAAAATTTTAGATTTTTAGGATTTTTCTGTATTGAGAGTTAGAGCTTCAAAATATCGATTTTTAAATTTGTATGGGAATTATATATAAATTTAAGTTTTTTATTAAATCTTTAATAACTTTTTAACAACATTAATTAAAAGAAAACTATATATATTTTTGAGATATTTAAGCTTGAATCTATATAGAAATTCAAAAAAATTAACAGATATAGAGATATAGTATACGATGAGTTTAGAGTAGTATAAATAATCCCTGTCATTTTGAGGGTACCCTTATAAATATTTATTTATAAGAAATTTTTTATTTTTTCTGAATCTCTTATATTGAATATACTATAAATTTATAGTAAAATTTTATAGTTTATTTTTAGCAATTTTTATTAGAAAGTTATTAAAGATTTTATAAAAAGTTTAAATTTATATGTGATTTCCATATAAATTTGAAAATCGATATTTTGAAGCTCTAGATCTCAATACAGAAAAATCCTAAAAATCTGAAAATTTCAGAATAAGCTTAAATCGATCTAAATTATATATGTATAAATTTTCATTAAATTCTATCCATAAATAAGAAAGTTATAAATTCCATTTTTAGTGTATTTTGGGTATAAAAAGTGGCCCAAAAGGGGGGTGGCCCGAAAGTAGGGTACCCGACTTACTCATACAGAAAACGATACAGATTCTGGATCGGAAGCTAAATTCTTAAGTTCTCAGCCGAGACTTGGGATTGAGTTTCTTTCGTAGAAAGATATAGTATCTGGACAGAATATACAGCTTGGTTTATCCTATAGCTTGTGTGTAGTTTCGTAGCAGGGTAAGAAATGAATGGAGAGGGAGAAGGAATAGGAAAGCAATTTCAAAATTCATATTTGGTCAAGATAGATGGCAGCGATAGAGATATAGTATGAGAGTCCAAAGACAAAGGATGAAAGCTACTAATAACTGGTTCTAACCTCCCCGTATGTAAGCAGCCTTCTTTGAATAGCCACTGGGAAAATTGAGAAGAGATAACAATTAGAGCATATTACGATCGATGTAGTCTACTTGTGTAGAATATTAAAATATACTGTTCGGTGTGATGAGAACAAAGTAGTATTCTTTCATCATGGTAGATACACTTTGTGAACAGTGTGCGTAAGAGCTAGTACTTCCAGCTTTAATTGGAAATCGAGATGGTGATATAGACCTCTCTTCTCATGAGACTAATGGGACTTGGAATTGTAAACCAATTACAAGTATTTTGAAGAAATCACTTGGATAGATGGAACATCGACAAGTAACGCTGAATGATTGCTTCCACTTGGAGCCAAGATTCAAGAATATCAGTTTCATGAGCTAGCAATTTGTAGAAGGAGGTGAAAATAAAGTCAGTAGACAAAAGACGTAAAAGATTATGATTGATTCCGAAAATGAACTCCTAATATGGGTATCAACCTATCCTATCCAACTCCAAATGCCAGTTTCTCAAAGTATATCTTATTCCCCCATAACTCCCTAATCACTTCCCATCCCTTTCCTACCCTTGACAACATTCACCACATCATCCACATCATCCTCCTCTCCCAACGTCTCTACCTTCCCCCCACTACTCTTCGTCAACTTATCATCCGTCGCATCAAAAGTTTTCTTGGCCTCATCAATAAACATCTTCTTCTCAAACACCTCTGTGATTTTTCCCAAAAATGCTGGATTCTTCCGACAAGCAAATTTAATGTCATCGAGTTTAACTTTTTGTCGACCAGCTATTTGGGCTGCGCGAGATGCTTCAAAACAGAGCTCGATGATGAAATCAGTTACTATTTCATCGAGGGTTTTGGTCGTAGTTTCAAGGGCATGATGAACATCACCGTGAGCGTGGAGGAAAGATTTTACTAGACTGGGTTAGTTTGGGTGTTGATTGGTAGGAATAGAAGAGGAAGTCATAGGGAAAGATTGGAACGTACGTTCTGCTTCGGTGAAGTTTTGTTGACCGCGATTTTTGGCTGCGCGAGCTCTTGGTTCAGACATTTTTTGAGGTAGTGTGAAAGTTTGATTGAAATAGCTGATGTATGATGCGATGGATTGCGCGCGTTTTGGAGAGAAGAAGTCTGATACTAATAATGGGTATGTTCCCAAATTTGATCGTTGTAGTTCTGGTAAATAGTTGTATTTTCAGTCAATTTCTGAATTGATGAATCCGTGAGTACAAGTATCAAGCGCTAGAAATAAGATCTATTGGCGCGTTTCTTGTGATGGTACTATCACTGGGAGGAAATCGAATCTTTGATGTAGAGTAAAGTCGCAGAGCTTCCGCGAGCTATATTACGATTAATAATTTATCCGGAAATCGGGTCTATAGATAGTCCGGCCACCGATTGCCCAATGCATGCATGTGAATGGAAATGTGTTTGGTAGATGGATGGTATTTACAGATTTATATGTTGAGGAACACCCCAATCATCTAAAACTTTTCCTGTGATCTCGACTCTTACCCTACAAAATGGTTTGTCAAGCCCAGAAATTTTAGTTGAGGACTCTGCGTATGCGAAATCCTCTTGCGCAAAGGTACTAACAAGCTATCTAGTCAGCTCTCTTCAATTTCCAATCAGCACTGCTAGTGCTCCTTCTCCTCATATGTACGAGCGCATACGCACATCAATTGTTTCCCAATATCATGGATCGGAATAAAGAAGGGTATGATAGCATTTGTTTTGAAAAGATCAGGGAATTAGAATACTGATGGAAACTAGCACTTTTACCGGGTTGTTCTGGAAATGTGCGAGGATAGGAGAGCGATTGAGTCCTTATATAAGTGTTTGCTGTGTTGTCATGGCTGTGAGTTTTACTCTGCTTGGCTAGACTGGGGAGTTACTAATGAATGGCAATAGGTTTCTCTGTTTGTTGGTAACTGAATGTTTGGGAGAGGGGATTTGCATGGCGTTTGGAGGGAGGATGAATTTATGTCAAATCGAGGTCTGGATCTCAAAGACATTTGGCATAGGAGGTGTGCTTGGAATGTTATGAGAGGGTGGCATTTGAGCCAAAATGATATTACATATACGCATAATCGAAAATTATACCAGATTATTTTACCCTCCTATGCATCCACGCATTCCTTGCAGAAGCTATTCCTTTGCGCCAGTCTCCAGTCTCCAACTTCCGATAACCAAAACGCCTTCGCCAATGCCCATTTGAACGCCCATATATACTATACAGCCAAGACAAGTGCCAAATAATGGATGTAAAAGTCCATTCCTCAATCCTTCAAAATCGAGATTAGAGCTCTTACGTCATGGTTCATGGCAATGAACTTTGAATACTGGCAGTATCCATAGTTTCATTGTCACCCCAAATATCTCGACTCTCTTGTTCCACAGATCTCATTGCAGAAGCTACTTCCTCCAATTTTGCTACCACATCAAGAACTCCTTCATTAACCCTTTGGAAATACCTGTCGTTGGCCTCCCTTCTCTTCCTTGCCAATACAATATCTGCCTTTGTATCCTCCTCCAATTTACTACCCATCTTCTCTCCACCTCCACTATGAACCCCACTAGTGGTCGTACTCCTTCCTCCATCCGTTCCAGATGTCGCCGTCATTCCCGGTCCATCTAGAGCGCTCTTCCCCTCACTTCCCAATGTCCCACCCCCAATATCACCTTTACGTCCCTCATCGACCACATCATCCGCTTCACTCCTAGCCCACGCTTGCGCCAAAGCTATTTGTGTTTTCCGTAGTTCCTCTAAAGCTCTACTATGTTCAGGTCCAAAGACATGTGTCGCATTTACAGCACTAAGCTCAACTTCTTCTAATGTACTTTGCATTTCAGCCCATAATGCATCGGTTCTCGCAGCTTGTTTTTGTCCTTCAGAAGGAGCTTTCCCCGCGCGAGGAAGGGAAGTTATGGGAGCTGTATCGGTGGGTCCATCGAGATTAGTTCGCAATGGTAATCTTTGGGATCGTTGACGGACAAGAGAATTTCTAGAAGTGGTGGGATATAAGTTTGATGATTGATTGGATGGTACAGGTGCTAGAGCACCTTCTAACGATACGTGAGAGGCATTTTGTGAAGGTGTAGTAAAGAGTACTGGAGGTGGATCACGAACGGGTCGTTTTGATTTTGATTTTGGTGATTGATCCATATTGGGTCTTAAAACGAAAAGATTGTATATGTGTATGGAAGTAATTTGGAGAAGTCGGGAGCTATGAGATAGAAGTCATCGAACTTCTTATCAGTGATTGTTATCGCCGACAATCTGCATTAATGTGAATGCCTTAAAATAAATTCAATTCTGACTACTTTCAGGCCACAATTTATTCTGCCCAGAAATTCATTTGTTCGCTTAGCGCATTTTAGCTTCACGCACTCATTGTGATTTTGAAATTCTTCTCTCCAGCTTTCGCAACGACATATCGACAACTAACCATAACCCATCAATTCCCGTTATCGCCTTAATTCGGTACATACCCAATTTCTCTACGATTTATACTCTCAATAAATTCCAATCAGCAGCTAATTCGAAATTTCTCAATAGCAATCATGGGTAAAGGAAAGCCAAGAGGTCTCAACGCCGCTCGCAAACTTCAAAACCATCGTCGCGAGCAAAGATGGTCTGATTTGTCCTACAAGAAGCGTGCTTTGGGTACCGCTTTCAAGTCCTCGCCATTCGGAGGTTCCTCCCACGCCAAGGGTATCGTTCTCGAGAAGGTCGGAGTCGAGGCCAAACAACCTAACTCCGCTATCCGAAAGTGTGTCAGAGTCCAGTTGATCAAGAACGGAAAGAAGGTCACTGCTTTCGGTATGTGGATTATTTTATATCATGGGATTCCTGCGAGGTAGTGAAAGATGGGATGAAGATCTGCGGGCGAGAGAAGGATGATTTGAGGCATTTGGAGAAATGAGAGAATTGAAAATGAAGAAGAGATACTAACATGATTTTTTTTTTACAGTTCCTAACGATGGTTGTCTTAACTTTGTCGATGAGAACGACGAGGTCCTCCTCGCTGGTTTCGGTCGTAAGGGAAAGGCCAAGGGAGATATTCCTGGTGTTCGTTTCAAGGTCGTCAAGGTCTCTGGTGTTGGATTGTCTGCTTTGTGGAAGGAGAAGAAGGAGAAGCCAAGATCATAAACGAATATGTTAACGATTTTGCTTCTTGGGGGGAATGGGATATGGTGTTTTGCTGTCGCGACGATCGATGGCTAGGCTCAGAATCTACATATAGAGCATAGTACTTTCACACCTGCAGCATTTGGGAATGAAATACCTCCATTGATCATGATCACCATCAATTTGTCTTTTGGAACGGATTTGGTTCGTGAAAATGAAATGGTTCTTGTGTGATGAATGTTTGGGGGATTGAAGTGGATTAGAGATGACGGCTGGTTGTCCGTCTCGAGTCGATGTTTGTGGGCTTGGGACGAGTGGCGAAGTGTAGCTTGACTTCAGAATTTCCACTCACTCGATACTCCCAAACGCTCAAGCGCGCAATATGCCAATTCCTAGTGATAATACCTCATCTAATGTTTCTCAGCCATAATATCGAAAATAGTCACACACAAATGCAAAAGAAGCAATTGATATGACGCCGCTGGCTACCTGGGGACTACTGCCATGGTAATTACTAGATACTGTATATTTTTTCAACAGACATCAATACTGCAACTGCCAATGTATATATAGTAGCACACTTACATCCCAAGCATTCCCTCCATGCCTGATAGGCATATTTCGTTCTTATATGCCTTTACTATTTATATTTGTCCTGGTATATACCTCCTAGCCAATAAGATGTCTAATTCTCTTTTCTACATGCCATGATCCTGAAACAGTCACAAAGCTACTGCAGACCCATGAGCTCTTTCCAGGCCTGCATTCACTCACTCTTCCTTACTTGAAACCCATCTGTACGATGTTTCTTTCTGCATTAAAAAAGAAAATCATCCTTTCGGGCGATGATGTTATGGTACTACTCACAAAAGAGGAAAGAAAAATGCAAAAGCTGCAGGCAAGCCCTATATGCTACAATCATTCTCCGAGAGACTAGTGATATGTAATTGCGCGACTCCATTCTCACAAGTACGTTACACCAACCACACTAGCAGGTCTCCGAGTCAGATCATTGAGGATTGGAGTCATGTTTGTAAAGTCTTGCTGTAACGTCTGCATCTATTAACCATTTTCTGTTTCTACTCTAGTCATGCGGAGTTATGATGCAAAACAGAGATCGATTTACCAAACAATTAAATATTACAGAAAAAAACATTAAAATAATAAACTTTTATGTGATACACAGTATCGGCCTCCTCTTCACCCTAATCTCCATCTAGCCCTCCCAAATCATCATACGTTCATCGGAATCACATCTCTTTTCCCTTCCCTCCCCCAATACCCCCATCCACTACTCCCAAGCATTAACCGCCATAGCCAACGCCGCCACATCCGGAGTCCTAATATAATCCACCTCAATCAAGTTCGGTTTTCTTTCTTTCCCTCCCCCCCGTACAAGTCCTTCAAAATTTCTAAACAAACTCCGCTGCGCCAATATCGCATACCCAAGTTTAGAACTCCACCAATTACCGATATCGGCCTGGGAGGTAGGCGGTTGAGTAAGGATCCAGGTTGATTTATGCATTTGTGCGGGGTTTGTGTCGGTGATGGCGGAAGAGGACTTGTGGTGGGAGAGGAGGTGGATTTGGGAGGAGGCTAGCTGTGAAGGCGAGTCGGTGGCGGAGTAGTGTCCGGTTACGGGGAGACGGGTCGGCGGGAGGAGAGTGAAGGGCATCTTGTAGTCGGCGGGGGTGTGGCGGGAGAGGGGATCAGGCACTGGATTCAGTGGTTAGTTTGAGGCTGTTGGGATTTCCTGGGGATCTTGATAGAAATGATGTGCACAAGGGAGTTAAGACGTGAAGATGAAGGGAAATTACGACATAAACGCTGCAATGAATTGGGGAGGAGCTAATGATTTGAGGCTGAATACAGAAGGGAAGACTCTGAAGATTGTAATATTCAGATCGATTTTTAAACTAGGAACTGCAATATGAAAGGACAAGCAATACTTACGAATGCTACCAGGAATTATAGATGCTTTCCGCCTATCAATAAGGGAAGGAGATGGCTCTTGCGAATCGAGCGAATCTGTGGTGTTCAACGGTGAAAGATATTCATCCGAACTAACAGAATCACAGCCAGCTGAAGATGATGTCAGAGTGGTATTTGCATCTCTTTTCCCCCTCCCAGGAAATGTCGAAACCGGTATCGGTGCATCGCAAGGAACCCTCACCAACACCGTACTATTACCCCCCTTGGTTACAAAAGTGTCAAAAGGTAAAAGCGACAAATCCCATTCCAATCTCTGTGGTTCCTGCCAGGCATTACGAATGCGACTCAATAAGTCATAAAACTTCATCCAATCACTCGCATCAAATTTCCTCCATTTGGACTCATTACTTGCATCATGCGATATATCAAGCACAATGAGTTCTCCGGGGTGTCCTTTTGTAAATCTATTCACATCTCCAATTATACTCTCAATACTCTGACCCGTGGCACCCCACATTTTCCCGGAGACAAATGTACCATGGTAAGTCATCCATTTCCCTTCATAAAATACAGGTCGGATATCTAACCACCGGGCTCCGTGAATTAGTTGCATAAACACGGAATTGGATTGTGTTTGTGTGTTGTGTAAGGTGCCTGGCCCATTTAGTGAATCGCTTACGATACTAGCCCCTGCGTTGTGAGCCATGGGCATACTGATTTCACGGAGAGGCCTCGAGGAGAGAGTGGAAAAAGTGCGTTGCATCCAGCGGACTGGAGGATTAGAGCTGACATAGGGGGCTGAGATACCATTTCCTGCGAGAATGAATGGATGCGGATGATTTTTGCTATAAACCAGGTCGATGACTGATTTTTTGGGATTGTTGAGAGAGGAGAGATTTTCATGATAAACAACCTCGACCTTGGTTGGATTTCGATGGGCTCGAACGGTAAAGGATTCAGGGGATGAAGGATTATCAATACGATATGTTGCTTCGGCCTTTGAGTCTCGTAGATGTAAAATCCATGAGATACAGGATTCGGCGCTGGTACCTGTGGTGATTTGTTAGAATTGGGAATTGGGCATGAGGAATAGAACGTAGCTTGAATACCGGATGGAATGGTGGCATTGGGAAACCATTTCGTGTGATGTGTTTCATTAGATATCAAGTGCCAGTCGTATGGTGTTCCATTGACGAGTTCTACATATGCTTTTGTTACTGCAAGAACCGTAGGTAGCAGAAGCAGTAGGACTGCAAATGCATGTAGGGTAGAATTAAACATTATAGATAGCAGACAAGTGGAGACTGTAACGCCTGAGATTCACAAATGCGTACGAATCCAATAACATGCAGAACTCGCAATGTAGATGGTTCACAAGACAAGCAGGTGAAGGAGACAGAATGCACCAGCTGGAAATTGCTAACGTGTCAACACTGCCAACCCCAAGTGTTGTGGGAGGTGTTAACGTCATGATTAAGAATTTAGTGTACTGTCTACAAAAGATCGTCTACCGAACTGAAAATAGTGGACACTCCAAATTTTTTCTCGAGAACATCATATGTCTTATCGATTGCACCCGCACGTTGGGGACAGCAATATAGACATGAATTGTGTTTGAAAAAGACATGGCCGGTAGCGGTCAAAAATGTATGACAGCAATACATATACAAACGCCTTCAACGTTTGAGCGTGAAAATTTGAGATTGTCTTGCGGGCACACCTAGTACGTCATTAATCGTCATGCCCTAATAAATGGTACAAAGTTTGCAAGTTCAGGCGAAACAAGATATTCGAAACGAACTTTGAATTGATACTTTTGTTACTCGTGAATGGAAGCCAAGGAACTTTCTATCAACAAGTTTGTCCTTATTCCTTAATCTTCATGTTCTTTTCGCTGGTCCCGGTACGAATTGCCTGAAAAGAAAAAAACGGTGAGATTCGTGGGAAAAGTCAGATGGTAGTAAAGTTTGGGGAGGATTCGGTTGCTTCGTAAAGCAGACAAATCATGTTGAAGTGTCTCTGCAGAACAAAGTTTTCCATTGGAAAAATGTCTTATCCTATCCATATAGTGGAAAATGCTGAAGAAGAAATATCAGACTCACGTGTCTTGCACATGATCGGAGCCACTAGCTCGATGTTTAAACCTTCCGCAGTCCCAGAAGAAAACTTCACTCAAGGAGAATGGGTTCTGAAACATGTCATTTTACTGCCTGATGATATGTGTCATCCACAGAGTATAAAGGATGACATGAAAAACCAATCAACGCAATCACGACGACATGAACTTAAATGATCCTACACACGTAAAAAACAGGTCAAAGAGCCATTGAATCCTATTTGATGCGATTCATGAGCAGATCATACTTTGTCTCTACCAAGTCTACTCGGCAAATCTAGGGCCCTTTGGCAGCAACGTGAATAGGTGCCTAGTGTCAACTCCTTACGTGAGACTAAGCGCTTCTTCTCAAGCCTGAGCGGCTGAGTTGAAATCTAGTGTAGGAAGATACCATTAGTGCAGCTCAACTAAAGCAAAGCATAAAATTGTTGGCGCGTGGCAAGGCGGCTGGAATCCTGTGGCTCGCGTACACCTTTCCCCTTTTGGGATGTAAGGTTCACACACTAGCAATTAATGTCTGTTCATCAAATTTGGAGTAGGAAGATCAAATAAGCTTTTTGACACCCCTAGAAAAAACCACCTCTGGCACTTTCTGATGGCAGTCCCCCAAATATACATGTGTGACGTGTCAAGGCCTGCTCTTTCAAGTTCAGGTGTATGACATCGTCGACCCGAACAAATGTAGAGGATACGCTCAAATAGTGGAAAGAGGCCGCAAATCTCGGTCCTATGTGGACTACTTGTAAGTAGAGTTTGTTTCAAGGCAAATACATCGAAATTTCCAGAAATGACCTAAATCTCAGCTCCGTCACAACCGATTTAAGCGATTCCGTCGGCTTCATCAATGTTTTGTATCTTTTTTGTACAATATGAGGCTCCACTGATCTCCCGTCGCGAGGATCAGTAATCATGACAAAATATTTGGCAAGCAATGCCAAGCATATACCTCTACTCGGGGAGTTAGTCTTGCAATTGTAACGGAATTACAGCAAAACCTCTCCATAAGGATCCCCCCTATAAGGATAACCTTTATTATCCTTATTTTTTTTTGGTCCCAAAAATTTTCAGGGCTAAAAAAGGCCTATATCCTTAAAACCTCTCTATTAGGATATCCTTATATTCTTTGGTCCCAGAATCATATATATCCTTATTGGATCAGTAGAATTATATAATAAATATATCGATATTTTAGTCAGATTTGATTGAAATGAAAAAAATATCACAGAAATAACCCGATCGGAACTAATCAGAAGGAAATTACTATTATATCAGAATTAAGCGGAACCTCTATATAAGAATACCTCTATATATCCTTAAAAAAGTCTACAAAAACCGGTATCCTTATGGAGAGGTTTTGCTGTAAGAGCAAAGTTTAATAAATTGATATGGACGAAAAAGTAAGATTTTTGCTTTTGAATCCATCAGTCATACATACACGGACTGGTGGGGTGAGCTCTCCAACGCGCGCGTAGTTGCTGGCCACGATGATTGCATGTAATCATTTTGTCTTTCTTTCAAGCTGTCCGAAGAGAACCCGCCCCCCCAAACCGAAGTCCAACCTACACACTTATTTGGACTTCAGATGACATCGTAAACTTGAGAGAGTCGGCCAACAAAAGGTGGGCTCGAGATAGGGCTTGGGAAATAAGCGGATGACAAATGAGCTACCATCAAGTCATTGCCGTACTCCGTACGCGTATCATATTTCATGTGAACCAATCTAGTGGAGATCTATCTCTTTCAGGATTTAGAAACTCTTCATTTAGTGCTGAGCATTGCCGGGACTGTCAGCAAGGCAACTCGGCAGTATTATTTGCGTACAACAGCTAATCAAGAGCAGAGCACGTGCTGACGGCGAGTCAGGGGCACAAAGTTAAACTTTGCATTTGTCGCACCGCTCGGTTATAGACATCCACGACTCTACGCGAAGAAGTTTTGGACATTCTGAGACTAGGATCGGAACCTTGTCCCGAGAAGTTTAAAAGATTGCGATGGAATCTGTACCGTATGTTTTGCATTGCATGTTGAATTAGGATTCACTAGTTGACAGCTGTGAACATGAGGCTGATTGTTGGAAGTAATCAAACAGGCACCAAAATTCGCTACTGAATAAAAGGGTTCTTCCCAGGGCCCAGTAAAGTATTGCGTAGTAATTACCAGGAGTGCGACGTTCGTGCATCAAACGGCTTCTTTCTTATCAGGCCAACGGATATAACAAGTGCCGGGTTTAAATAATATGGAGATTAAATACATGAAGCACTCAAGGGACGGAGATATGTCAAAAAGAAGTAAGGGAGGGTCGCTGACCTCCAAAAAGTGCGGGGCGCGGGAGGGGGCCATCCTTTGGATGATGCTCCCTGACTCCTGAGCTCCTCTGCATTGCGGAAGTATTCCACCAATCAATGGGGCGATTAATTAGAAAGTCTGGATTTGGCTGCCTGTCGTTGTGGCTACAAATCCGAGTTTCCTCGAAATCTCCGAATTTTGTGGCTGGTGTGTCAAGCACGACCTGCAAGTCGATAGATCGACCATATTACCCTTGGATACTTGAAGGGAAGGTAAGGGCTATAGTATCCTTGAACATATGAAGGGGATAGGTAGTGAAGGAGGGGACGGCCAAGAGAGCCAAGATGATAAAAATTCTGGGCAAGGAAAATGCATGTCACTGCACTCTTCTGGGTGAGCGGCAGCTGCGGATATAGCGGGATTATGGCAAGGTCTGTCCTGTTCTCTTGATCCGGGATGGAAATGAGGAGATTGTTGTTTGATTAGAGTTCTAGAAATCCGGGAGGACTTCTCAATGCAGCACGGAGATGGAAAGAATACGGGAAAGAATTGCGAATGCATGAGCCGAGAAGACGGAGATCATCATTTGGATCTTGATACAAGCGATCGTTCAAACACCCAATGCATTGTTGCACTTGTGGAATACAAATCCCAAGAGTTGACTCCAAGTCCGAAGCTATCGTCGGATCCGAGGCATAATTTTTTAATCTTTTGGGATGGGGGTGAGAGGGGTAGAGGATTGAGTTTGCTCCAACATTTGGTGATGTGGCGAGAACGATACTTTCCTTTGAAATCCAGACGTGAAAACTCAATAGAGTATTTATCTAGTAATTGGAAAAATTCAGTAGGTGTTGAAAAAGTTAATCGTATAGCGAAGTTTAACCTTCAGCCAATAAATACCTGAGTCAGCACGAGACATTGACTTTATGCCTTGACTGTTCCCGATTCTGGGATTGCTTATGGTTGAGCAGATGTTTTCCCAAGTCGGTGGCGCCATTCCTCGTGACCCCAGTTGACCCAGCATCGAAATCAGATGTTGAACAGTACTGGATGTGCGCAATCCGTCCCAACGGTGTATCTGTGAACCCCCCTCGCCCCCTCAGCCCCCTAATCTTAAAACAACTTACGAGTTATGTGATAGCTTTGAATATCTGTTCATTGATCGGTCATGGATTGATTCATGGATGGAAACTCTCTTTTAATTCAAATCTGGTGAAGAGAGCCATGAAGAGGTTGATGTGCGAAGAGCGAAGCGCGAGATGATCTGAAATCGCAGGGGAGACGATTATACTTTATTTGTTCCCATTCGCTTAGCAGCAGACTATGGCAGAAGTGGCAGTTGCTCCGTGCTTCTGAGGAAGCTATTAATCATGCTAAAATTATACAGCTCTAATTTTCGAAGTGGTTTCCAAATTTCTAATATATGTCGTTCTTTTCGGTTATAGAGTTCTGCACTCCGTCTTAGCCTAGGGAATTCCATGCTGTTGCTTCTTTTGCCACTAGAACACTTCGGAGGCTCGTTTAGCATGAATGTCTGGCCGCCGGGATAAAGTCTCCGATGAGTCAATGTCATATCAAATTTTATATTGAGATATCTCAATCAGTGTTGGATTTATGTAAGGATTCCAGTCAGCCAACCAAGTACGTGTGTACGTTGAGGATCGAGATCTGATTGTTAGCAGATTGTGCGGTCGGATTTAGGCGTTGTGCTCCGGTCTTGCATTCCTGGTCTAGATTGCTAAATTAGGGTCTTTTTGCAGCTCTGCTGCATCTAAACCCTATCATCTAGTCAAACTTTACAAACGACAAAGACCTTGGTGCTATAATGGTGGTGGTGGGCAAAAGGCGTAGGCTCAAAATCGATGGACCAGTCACCAGGTCACAGTCGTCGGGTAAACGTATGGGAGTGCTAAGAGACAGATGTATGCAAAAACCTTGGTGTCAGAGTTTACTTTTACCGTCGGTACACGGGAGAAACGAGATGAATTCGATTCAAGCACATATCGCAATTTTGCATAAGACGTTTAACTGTTTAACTTTGGGTTGAAACTCCATATTTACTGACTCGATGAATCGACCTATTAGTTAAATTTGGTCTGAAAAATGATGATGTTCTGATTCCCTGCTGTCTGTCCCCAGGGCCCAGGAGCTTTGATGTGATATTTGTGACAGAGCGCGGAAATGTTCCAATTTAATTGGATCTTATACTTTCCACGATACCAGGGTTCAATGTCTGTAATAAGATTTTGGAGACCTATCAGGCGCAAGTCATGAACTTATACTTTTCGAATCTTACTATATAGGACACAACCTCTTCAAGCCAGTCTCTCTGCTTTTGCTTCACTCTTTCCAATAGAATTTCTCCTACCATTACATATCGAAATCATATCGAATCCACTCCTTTAAGATCATCACGCAAGCCCCAAGCAGATATACAACGCGTCGAATCCATCCATTCATCTACGATTACCTTCCCAGAAGAGTTATTGGTCGGACGAGCTGAGCTGCAGTGCTTCCGTAATCAGGCAAAAGCCCGAATCACATCGAGATTCATACAAAGTACTCAAGTACTTATCATCTGACAGCTAATGCAACTGGATAAAACCATTCCGTTTACTACATATTACTCCGTCGCCATGCCTTTCATTCAAGATTCGCACCTTCCTCTTTCGTCGTTTGCTAAGACGCACCTCGATAACCCGGATCATTTCGACCCCTCCTTATCGCTCCATACCATTATGAACGGCCATTTAACCAGCCAAGAGGCGTATAGACAAGCTTCTGTCGGCACTCTTTCAGTATCTCAAGCTTTGGAAATTGCTCGAGACAGTGAGGAAGAAATCAGAGATCCAATCGTCATCGGTGTCTTGGAAGTTGCAATCAACCATATCTGGAGGAAGCTACAAGAAGAACCTACCACATATGTGATGACCCGCGAAGAATTCGGTGTCTTCAATTACTTTCAAAATCGATTCCAAGGCGTTGAGCTCGCCACAGCAGCGCGAAAGAGATATTGGGATTCCCAGCACAGTTGAGAAGTGCCACAATTAACGGTGCCACAGTGGCTCAATTGATTATCGATTTACTGCACCCTCATCCTTACCTTGTCTAATCCACCCTTGTTCCCCGGTGGATCGTTTCCAACTTCAGAAGTCACAATGTCAGCAGGAACAGAAAATCTGTTCGACTCAAAGGGAGACACTTATGTTGGTGATCATCTTGGACCGATTGATACCAATTGTAAGCCCGACAACAAAAATCGAAAAACAATCAAAAATATCAAAATAGTCCTTCTTATTTTATTTAGCTGCGGTCTGTCATCGATATGGCTTTTACGGTCATGCTCTTTAGAGGATGTGGTGGACATTTCACCAAAGTCTAGTTTGGTCAAATATTCTGCTGCACCAGCACCCTCTGCTACTCCTACTTCCACAGTGCTTGAAGTATTTCAGGTTTATCAACCAGTTCTCATTCCACCTGGTGTGTCTGATGAGACAGCATCATACGATGGAGTTGAGGAGACGTCGATAATCGCGTCAACGAATGTTGCAACAAGCTGCAAGGTTGTTCTGATGGAACATACTTTTGGCTACAGCTATGGCATCCCATTTGTTGGTATGGAATTCAGATACAAAATCTTGCAATTGCCAATCAGCTAATGATCTTACAGGCAATTATACGCCACCTAGCTGCACGTTCAATAGAGTTGCCATGAATTTTACAGTCACTTCAAGCGGTCGTCAATTCGACCGTCTTGCAATAATGTATTTTGGAGACTCTGAAGTTTGGAGAACATCCACCGCAGAACCAACTACGGCTGGAATTAGATGGGAGTATCTTAAGGATATGACGGAGTATCTTTATTTTTGGAACTCCCCCCAAACACTCATTTTCGATCTTGGAAATCTGATCGATAGCACATATACTGGATATTACTATACCACGCTTACAGCTACATTTTTCACGAGCCAAGAAACTGTAGAGCCGGCTGATCTGATTCTTCCAATCTCCGCAAGGCACGGTTCAGAAGATGCTGTGAGTGTTTTCACGTTACCAGGTGATAACGCCACAAACACCATTAGCTTCCCACAGAACGTCAATCGTGCCGTCTTCTCTATCTCGGCATGTGGCCAGTCAACTGAAGAATTTTGGTGGGGCAATGTGCTCCAGTCAGATATCGAAACATTTGAGGATTACGATGGAACACTTTATGGATATTCTCCATTTCGTGAAGTCCAAGTTTTGATCGATGGTCAATTAGCCGGTGTGCAATGGCCATTTCCGGTAGTCTTCACTGGTGGTATCGTACCAGGACTTTGGAGACCAATTGTAGGACTTGATACTTTCGACCTACGTGAACACGAGATCGACATCACACCTTGGCTTCCTGTCCTATGTGACGGATCTGAACATACCTTTGAGATCCGAGTTGCAGGGGTTATAGACGATGGTGAGGGAAGCGGTACCCTGATTGACACAGTAGGCAGTTACTGGCTCGTCACTGGCAAAATCTTTATATGGCTTGACTCCAATGACTCTGTCACTACCGGTACTGCACCCACACTCTCGCTTCCAGCTCCTATCATCACTACTTCACAACTCCTCACTCAAAATGCAACCGGCGCAAACGAAACACTCACTTATACAACCAACGTTCAGCGTTCGCTCTCTATTTCATCTACCGTCGTTACAGAAAATGGCACCTCGACTTCAAAATGGACTCAGGAATTAAGCGCTCTGAACTATGGTCAATATACCGCTTTTGGCGCCATTCAAATAAACAACGCAACAACCCGTGGCATCGATACCTCCATAGCCGGAAGTACCACAAAATACAAGTCCGAATACACATACCCCGTCTGGGTGAACACAACCTATCTAGTCCTTTCCTCCACAAACTTCACCCTTGACGCCGTCATAACCCGTGGTCTTGACCTCCTCATATCCGGAGCCTCTGTCTTCCCATCCGGACTTCAACCGTTTGCTTATCTACCCTCCTCTGCTTCTCTCATTTCCGGGTTCTCGGGAACCCGGCTCTCAACCACTCAAAGTGGATCAGCTCATTACTTGGGTACTTCAGCCGGCAGCTCCGGATATGGCAGCACGAGTCAGACTTTTGAATTTGGTGGATTGGACATTAACAATGATGCGATTGATACGGAATTGTATTACCGAGATGTGGAGGCAGTCAATTCAACGATTGTATACGACGAGGAACGATTGGTCGGTGTGGAGATTGGGAAATACACAAATGGCAGACCTGGCGGGGCATATCTAAGTAAGGGTGTGATGAGTGCCAAAGAGGCAATTGGGAGGGGAAAGGGAAGCCCAAAGCAGATGCTTGTTGGTGGGGGGTCTTAGATTGAGGGTTCGACAGAAAGGGAAGGGGGGTGGGTAGCAGGGAGTGGGAGGTGGGGGCGATAAGAGGAAAGGGAGGATGACGAAGGGCTATGAAATCATAGCCGTTAGCTAGTTTACTTCATGTCGCTCATTTGGAATTAGATCCTTGCATGTGTTTGGAGACTCGGTTCTCGGCCTTTATTGTTTGAAGTATCGTTATGTTGCTAGGGGATTGGGCTGGATTCGGTTGTTGTATATACTTTCTGGCTGCTTAGTTAGTACATAAATTATCATAACCATTTACATTATACAGTAGTTTTTATGCAAGAGCATTTCGTTGCTTTGTGAACCTGTGAGATTGGGTATCGAATGTGGCCCTTATGTTTCGGAGCGTAGCGAAAGAAACTTATGCATCGGATTTTACGGACTTTTTATATAGCATATATGGATTATATTTCTATATTCAGGAATCCAATTTGTATGTAATTATACAATCTGAGTATAATACAATATTTTTTATTAATTCAATTATATAAAGAATTAAAAAAACAAAGGTTTAAAAAAAATAAAGAATAAATTTTATCTTTAATTCTTTAATATTAAATGTTTATTATTATTATTATTATTATTATTATTATTAAAAAGGAGATAAACCAACTTCGCCTACAAGCTCCCAATCCACCTATTATTCAAAATTGTATTTTAAAATATACTTTCTTAAAATTTTAATTTACATCTTATTAACACAAGAAATCCAAAAGCTCGCAAACCCCTAGTATTTATAAAAATTGATTCTTAAACTCTTAATTCTTATAATATTCAAATTTAAATTAATAAATTAGATTCTTTTTATTATTATTATCTTTTTAGAATAATCTAAATAATTTAAATAATTTAAATAATCTAAATAATCTAAATAATCTAAATAATCTAAATAATCTAAATAATCTAAATAATCTAAATAATCTAAATAATCTAAATAATCTAAATAATCTAAATAATCTAAATAATCTAAATAATCTAAATGAAAATATAGAAAAAATAATAAAAGAATATTTTTATTATTTTTATTATTTTTATTATTTTTATTATTTTTATTATTTTTATTATTTTTATTATTTTTATTATTTTTATTATTTTTATTGTTTTTATTATTTTTATTATTTTTATTATTTTTATTATTTTTATTATTTTTATTATTTTTATTATTTTTATTATTTTTATTATTTTTATTATTTTTATTATTTTTATTATTTTTATTATTTTTATTATTTTTATTATTTTTATTATTTTTATTATTTTTATTATTTCTCTTATTAGAATAATATAAGAATAATAATAAGAATAATAAGAATAATACACGAATCCTAAATAAATAAGAATAATAAGAATAATCAAGACATAATACGAATATACGAATAATAAGCATAGATATAGTAATATAGATATCAAGACTATATACGAATACTACCGCCTACTCGACTACTAAGACTCATAGCATCATCCGCTCCTAGCAGACTCCGGCCTCTCCGCCTCATAAGCATCCGACTCACATACGCCTACTCGCTACTACCGCTCATCAGCCTCATAGCATCCGCCTACTACGCATCCGCTAGCTCCTCCGACTCTAAGCCCTCCAGCCTCCGACTCCTCAGACTCATCGCCTCCTCCCCTAATCCGCCTCATCCGCTCCCGCTAATCAGCCCTACTAGGTTGGTTTCGAACCCTGGCGAGCTGCTCGTCCCCCGAAAGTACACTAATCATGAGTTATGTTTGAGTTCAAAACATAGTTACAGCTTGCGATGGGCGGTCGTGTAGATTGGTTAGGTCCTATGTAATACACAGATCTCCAGGTCGTCATCCTTAGGTTGGTGGTCTTAAATCCGTTGCTGGGGTCACTTTGAGTGTATGAAGTTCAACCTTTGGTATATGTTTGGACATTCCAATGTCAGACAACTCGAAGAATCCAAATACATATTCACACCCTGGTGAAAATATCTCATATGTCTATACCTGCAAGAGAATTAAGGTAAAAGTCGTGGTGATGCTATCTGGTATTGGAAAAATGGCTCGCTCTTGCCAGTTTCCATCAAGAGTGAATAGGTCTTTTTGCCTTTGGATATTTATATCTTCGTGGCAGCGGCTAGCTGTCTACAACAAACTTCGAGGAGGCAGTCGCATTTTGAGTATATCCATTATATCACCATTCAGCAAATTATTTCTCGTCTCGTCTTGTCTCAGCATAGCGTAGCTTTTGCCGTATACGATAGCATTCATACCTTTGCCGTATACAATAATCATTCATCTTATCTGATATCCAATTATTAACCAGGAAGACTATTCTAGCTATTATTTCTAGGACGTCCTACCGCCGTTGACAAGAATATTACCACTGCCGTCCTAGTCCAAAACATCCGATTCGCACTTCTCAAAGACGCTCTTTCCTGTCCGCCTGGTTTACTGCGGTGATCATGGGTCAACTTATTCACGATTCGTCGCTCTGCGATAGAGCCAAGCGATGCATCGATAATAAGCCAGATTGCTCAAGTTCTCAACATGATCGAAAGCGTGTTCGTTTGAGCAATGAAATTCAAGGACCACCTGTGGGCGGGTCTATTAGTTCAACTGTTCCCAGACAATATACCCTCGTTGAAGCTGCCTCAAACCCATCTCCCAGTGATGGATATTTCCCTGTTCAAAGTGCTCCCAATCGAGATGTTGCAACATACCAAAATTTCATCAACTATACATTTGTCCCTATTCCAGAATCTGCCCGTCAAGATGCTGCTAACCAAGCTGTCCCAAACCGAAGTCGCATCTATACATTTGTTCCAATACAAATTGTTTCCGATGAAAATGTCGCTAGTCCAACTGCCTCAGATGCCTCTAGCCAGACTACCTTAGAACAAGCTATCTCCAACTCTCGTCAAGCTACGACTGTTGATCAAATCAACCAAGCTGACACTGATAAAGCCCTCGTCAATGAATTTGCCACTGTGCTAGCTATAGCCAGTCAAATTCCCCGCCATCAAGCTGCCGCCATTCAGAGACCTGTCAGATTCACAGTCAATCAGTCAATGGCACCCTCCCCTGGGACTCTCTTTCTTCAGATAATGACAATGGGTCGGGAGCGTGAATTATTAAGGCGGTGGGAACCTTCGGATTATGCTCATATCAGGATAAATGAGATCTCTTTCACACTGGGAGATGACTCAGATAATCAACCAATAACCGCTAATCAAACTGCTACTCGTTTGACCGATCAAGCTTTCGCCGATCAAGCTCTCGTCAATCGAGTTATCACAGAGTTAGCTGCCATTCATCCTCTTACCGGCACTCCCAATCAAGTAACCGCGGGTTTCTTCGTGATGCTCTACTCTCGAATGTTCCACGCAGGTGGAATTCGACGTGAAACGGTGAGACGTTGGATTCAATCAGGCAATGCCCGTTTACCCGTAAATATAGAAGTTCCAAGATTTGCGGTTGCATCAGTTCAGAATCCAAATGGGGCAGAAATCGCCGCACAACCGACGTTGGGATATCGAGCAACGGAAGCTATAGAAAATTAGTTCCAGCGTAGGATCCAACTAGAGCGACAGTCAATACCATTATCTCAGCAAGAGCATCTGAATGATTCCAACCTGCGCCACAATCGGGAGGGACCTGTGGCCGTTGAACGATTATGGGACGAAGATCAAGACTCTGACGCTGTAATTTTGTTTCCTAACAACCCATATCTACGCAGTTTTACAAGTGAAGAAACGTATACTCAAATATTAGGGATGGATGATGCGTCTTCTGATGATGAACGCCGCAGAGAGATGAGCAATCGTGGACGAAGAAATGCCATTCAATTTGGGAGGAGTCCAATATCTCCAGGCAACAACGCCACTATTACTTATTCTGGACCTCCAAATGTTGATACTTCATAGATGTTCTAAGGCAGACGGTGAACTATTAGAGTACGATTGGCGACGGTCCAACAGACAAGAGGATTACATATTCGAAGAAGTACGTAAAAAGCCTCGACTTTGACTGGATGGCTTTTTGAACATCTTGTCCAATTTGGTAATCGATACTGACAGAAGTGATACGAGCAGACAGGAATATTAGAGATTAAAGATTTCAGGATCACATTTGGAAAATGGACAAAAATCTCCTTAGTGTTAGGAAACCAGCGTGGGAATATCATCTGCACTAGCAATCCATTTCGATATTGATGGAATTCTTGTAGCGTTACGACATCATTGAAGAAATATTGTGTGCACTGGCAGCAAAATTTGGTTGCATACAGCCAATAATATTCAATATCAGTACTTTTTACTTCGCCCTGCTCCAATATAATTGCAAATGCGTAAGATCGCACGCTCCAGATGAGATGCCCATTTTTCATATGCAGAAACAAGAGCCATACTTTTCTTGTATCAATATTGACCCTGTGATATTTTTGAGTTCGTCAATTTGAGAGGAGTGAGCATACTTGATGAGTATGTATTAGCCACTTGACCCAAAGGAGTGTATTGGTGAGAATGAGTCTCGAGATTCTATCCTCAAGTATAAATTCATTCTATGCCCTTGGTAACCATCCACAACAAAATCCTAGGTATACCTTAATCAAAATTCAATATCAAAACAACAAAGCAATATTTTGCCTGTGAAATCTCTGATAACAAGATTTCATCAAGAAAATATCTTCATTCACTAACCAGAAGAGAGTCAGAATACCTATGTGAATATATTTATATTCAATTTCGAGGAAGAGTCAATTTAAAACTTTCTTCCATTTTTACGAGCTAGCTATTCGGTCAATCGCGAGCAATATCAACTGTATTTGTCATCAATAAATCCCCAATGACATCTTATCGCAACAAGCACCGCACCCCAACATTACCCCTCCAAAGCCTCCCATAAAATTTTCCCCTCCCACCCCAAGAAACCCTCCTCCCAACCCACAACAATGCGACTCCAACACCTCTCCGACTTCAAGCCCCAAGCCGCGACGCGCGCATGGGCATCTATTCCCAATCCCAACGGACTGCCGCTCATCGCTACTGCCACTTCTGATAAATCGGTCCGAGTCTATTCGCTCAATAATTTCACGTTGCATTCGACTTTGGAAGGGGGCCATGAAAGAAGTGTGAGATCTGCGGCGTGGAAACCGGGGGTTAGGAGAGATGGTGCGTTGACGATTGCGACGGGGAGTTTTGATGCGACCATGGGGATTTGGAGACGGAAGGAGGATGCGGGGAATGGTAATGGAAATGATGGCGGGGATGGACCATTGGAGATGGAGATTGGAGCGGATGGAGAGGTGAATAAAGGAGCGCAGTTGAGAAGAGGAGGGGAAGATGAGGAGGATGAAGGGGATGATTGGGAATTCTCGATTGTGTTGGAGGGTCATGATTCGGAGATTAAAAATGTGGCTTATTCGCCCAGTGGACAATGGTTGGCTTCTTGTTCGAGAGATAAGACGATTTGGATATGGGAAGAAATAGGAGAGGAGGGTGAAGATGAATTCGAAACAGTTGCAGTTTTGCAAGATCATAAAGCAGATGTTAAATGTGTTTGTTGGAGAAAAGACGATGGCAATGGAGAAGTTCTTGCGAGTGGTAGTTATGACGATACGATTTTACTATCCCGCGAAGATGGCGAGGGAGACTGGGAGACCGTGGCCACACTAGAGGGTCACGAAGGCACTGTATGGAATCTTGATTGGGAGCCCGAAGTTCTCATGAAGACAGCGTCTAGCGATGAATCCTCGGCGCCAGCAACCCCACGACTCCTCTCCTCATCCGCAGACATGAGCATTCGCATCTGGTCCAAAGTACCTACACCACCACCCCAAAACAAACCCTCCTATTTCAACCCCGGCATCCCCAGTACCATGCGCCCCGGCCCCGAAAACGAGACCTGGGAATGCACGGCCACGCTTCCCAAAGTCCACGATCTACCCATCTACAGCATTAGCTGGAGCAAACAAACCGGTCGTATAGTATCCACCGGCGGAGACGGCAAAATCGCCATCTACGAGGAACAAACCAAGGGACGAAATAGTGTGGGTGGTACCATTGAGAAGGAATGGACGGTTCTCACTGTTCTAGAAGGTGCGCATGGTCCGTATGAAATTAACCATGTGACGTGGTGTCAACGATTCGACAATGGCAAGAAAACCCCCGATGAAGAAATGGTTATTACGACGGGTGACGATGGACTTACGAAAGCATGGAGTATCGAAGAAAATGCGGAAGAAAGCCAAGTAGAAACATAATGGTATGTATGGATAATGGGAAGGTCATTTTCATAAAGAACTCATGGGTTGGTATAAAATCGTCGGGTCAGTTATAAAAATACGCACTACTAGTTAGTTATAAGCATAGCGTTCGGCGTTGTATAGGTCGGGTTAGATTTGCTGGGAATGAACGGGTGAATGCATATACACAACATGTAAATAGCTTTTATACCTCCCTAGATACCAGGAAATGGTTCGCATAGCTTGTTATGTTTATATGTATGTATGTGTATATGTAGATATACAAGATCAACAAACTCAACAGAATAAACACACAATTTCGTTTTCTTCAATCTTTTTATATCGATTTACTAGCATATTATTCCTATCTATCTAGGTACTCATAAGTAGGTATTACAAATTAAATTCTTTTCGAAGAACATGTAAGTACCTAGGTGAGGTGAGTAAGTAAAGTACATGATTGAAATCATTGAAATCATCAAGAAGAATCAAGAACCCAAAGAAAGTAATCAAAGTCGAGTAACTAAAATCCTCCTAGACATACTACAGCTATCCCAAATAACAAAACAGAATAGTTGACGCACACTTTTGAAAAGAAGAGGGAAATGGAAATGGGAAAGGGGAAAGGGGGATATTCAAACAAATGTTCGGCGCGGAATTGAAAGGGGAAAGAAGAGAGAAGAAAAGAGAAATGTGAACTCGTGACGATATCATCGCCGCAATCAACGTCGTCGTCGTCGTCGTCGTCGTCTTCCAACACAAGTCGCGCGAGCGGATCCAAATAATATAAACAGCAATAGCATCGATCGATTTTCTCCAGCATCGATATGATATCTCGGGTTGGTTTCGTCTCATTTCCACGTATACCACTGCATCTCACACCACAGCACACCACAGCACACCAATCCTCCCATCCTCTTCATTCCTCCCTCCCCCATCTCCACAGCTACCCCCTCATCAAATTCCCATGCGGCACCCCCACTCCCCCACCAATCCTCCACCACAAAAAATTCTCCACCGTCTTCCGCACCAGTCCCCGCGCCTTCCTCACCCTCATCCCCTTTTTCAACCGTCGAAAACTCTCGGGTAGTCTTTTCCCATCTGGATCGCGCGCGGTGGCGGACTCCCACCACTCTTCCTCTCTCTTGCATCTTTGCAGGATTTGGGAGACGGTGCATGGGGTGAAGAGGGTGTGGGGTGGAAAACGGATTGGTGACGTGTTTGTGTTTGTATTCGGGGTTGGTTTGGGGGGGTAGGGCGATTGAGAAGACGGAGGGGGATTAGCGCAGAGAGGAATAGCAGGGAGCGTGGTAGTATTTCCCACCGGATGCAGATAACTCATAGGTATCGCCGCCGAAATAGAAGATGCGTAGTCCAGCGGCCACCAATTCGAATTCGAGTCGTACAGAAATTTCTCATCGAGCGTCTGCATGACATGCGCGATGTGATCAGCGTCTAACCCGCGGCCGTGCAGATAGAGAATGAGGGATTGGGCGGGGGGCACCGCATATGCGGAACCGGAACGCGTGAGGTCGACGTAGGAGGTGTTGGAGTTGCTGGAGGAGGTGGAGCTGGGTGGGGCGGAGATCTTGGATTTGCGGGGTTTGAGACGGAGGAGGGGGTGGGGTTTGGATTTGGGTTTGGAGAGGGTGGCTTTGGAGTGTGTGCTTTTGGTTTTGTGGCTGGGTTGGGGGAGCGAGGATTTTTCTCTGGGCTTGTGGTTGTTGAGTTTGGCGATGCTTGCGGTGGAGAGGGAGGATTTGCGGAGGGAGCTGGCGCTTTTGGATGCGGATTTCGAGAAGGTTTCGCATGGAGCGTCTTCTGGGGTTGGGGGGAGAGATCGATTCTTCGCGAAAGCTCGGGAAAGTGATTTTACGGTAGGAACGAAAGATTTCGTGGGTTTCGCAGACTTTGTAGGCGACGGCACCGGTGTCAATGAACCTGTCGAAGATCTCGATCTCGATGACGATCTTCTGGATGTGGGAACGGGATCCAGATAACTCATGATCACCATTTCCGCAGTCGGATCGTGAGGTTTGTGGGTTTCTTCGTGGACGGAATAGCCGAGTATATCTTCCATGAAATCCGCATCCCAGGACGCAGGACGCGCATTTTCTCTTTCCGAAGGCGCAATACCAATGGTGGTACAATCATTAGCTACTTCGTACGGAGGATAGAGTTGGAATGCGTGGGGTGCGAATTTCGATGTACCGATTGCGTAATCTTCTTGACACTCCGTACCATGGTATGAGGAATTACCAAAAGAGTAATTGACAGATACTCCATCATCGCTTTCGTAGTCTTCGTCGTCGTCGGTATCGTATGGTTTTTCGCTGACGAGACTCTCTGCATTTGATGGCGCCAATAGGTCTTGACCGAATCTGCTGTTGAAGGTATAGCTACGTGCCATGCGTCCTCGGAAGCTATCACTGGTGCGTATGTTGGTGTTGGCGCCAGTGCAATGATCATCAGTGATGTCATATCCTTCAACAATCGAACCCGCATAATCTCCTTCTTCAGATCCATCGCCAGATCTATTGCTCAGAGAAACCTCAGAAGGACGGCGAGAGAATCGATCCGCGTCGGAACCTGTGGATTCTGTCGGATCAGAATTTCCCGTACCCTCTCCACCGTTGTAATCATCGTATAGAAAGCCATCACTATCATATTCCGTCGGACTTCCAGTCTTGACATCCTCATCAGAACATCTCCGCTGACCTCTCTCCACACACCCATCATCATCTCCCCCACAACCCTCCAATCGAAACCTCAACTCCAATTCCTTCAAGCCCGGAATCTCCAATCCACGCACCTCTCTCCTATTAACCCCATTCAGACCAACATCATTCGGTTCAAACAACGGCACCCCAAAATAATCCGAATAGTTACTCTTAACATCAAACGCCGGGCCCATTCTCCAATCTCCCACTGCAACAATATGAAAATGTCTCTGCATCTTCGTCATATCTTCCCACTCATGAGCCCATCCCGGCATTCCCAGAAGATCAACCAAATTTTTATGTCTCGGTTCCGATCCCAGTTCAACATCATCATCATCTTCTTCTTCCATCTCCACAATCGAAACAACATCCCCATCATCACCCACCACACTTCCCGCCTTCGAAGTAGGAGGATTAACATACCCCTCGGGAATAAAATCAAAAGGAACCCGAATCTCCGCCCCATACAATCTCTTCAATTCCCTAGTCGTCAACGCAACAACATGATCAGGATCCGCTTCCTCGGTACTATCCGCCCACTCACTCACTTCCTGATACCGATCATACGCCAAATACGGATTATCCGTCTCGGGATTATACCCCGGGATCTCCGCGCCGTACGCCGCCGGATTCTGATAGAAGCGTCGCGCATGCTTATGGTACACGGTATCCGAAGAAATATTATCCCAATTGAGCGAGAACGAGCCGCGGGAACTGTAGTGCCGGGATCGCAGAGAAGGAGAGCGCGAGCGCGCTTCCTGCGGCCCCAGAGTCGAAACGTCGGATTCCGAGCCTGATCTTCTCCTTGACTTTGATTTATCGAACGGCGCGTGCGTATTCTTACTCGGAGTAAATTGTTTAGGGTCGAATCTGGGGAAATCGTGGATCTCGGGATTGCGGCGCGGGCCAATGAATGGTCGTGCGCCATCTCTCGGTTCCATGATATCCTCATCGCCTTGAAAACTCATGTTGAGACTCTTGCCTTCCTCGAAAGAAGAATGGTGGTCTGGAGATTCACTCCCGTCCATTTGCGCTCCAAGCATGACGTGGTCATCTTTTGCAGGTCGGATTGTCTGTGATGAATGTCCCGAGTTATTGCTCCGTCTGCTGAGACTCCGAGTAAAGTTCCATGCCTTGTTTGTTCTAGACTCTACACTGCCGTCGCTTCCTCTTTCTTTATCTCTGTTTCTACCGATTGATAGACTTCCCTTGGGAAGACTTCTTGCTATTTCGCCTTTAGCCTTATCAGACCAGCAATCCTTATTCTCGACCTGAGAATTCCAAGTTGCGTGTAAATCTTGACCAACACTCCTTCCTCTCTCACGCGAAACATTTTCCACAGAACCAGATGACGTTGCAGGCGCATGCTCGTAAGCAATCATAACTCCCGAAGAATCGCGTTCAATTTCTTCAGAACCATCCATTTCACTTACTTGGTACTCGTCATCCCCCAGAGAAGCATTGCGCTTTTCCAAGTCATCCGCCTGAACGGTTGACATGCTCGAGACGGTCGAGGTACTGGCTGTGCTAGAACCCGCTTGCTTTTTTCTTCTCATTCTGTGCAATTCTGGACTCAGAGGCTTGGATATCTTTACCTGTGACATTTTTCCCGTGCCGACAAACAAAGATTCTCCATCATGATCATCATCTCTCTTCTCATCCGCACAAACAGTTTCACCACCCTCTTCCTCCTCCTCCTCCTTCCTCTCCACCCCCGCAGTAATCACCGTCCTCCCCCCAACCCCCCTCTCCACCTCCCCACAAACCACACACACACACCCCTCCACATGTCTCTCCTCCACGCCCGTCCCAAAATCCACATTCAGCGTAATATCCTCTTCGAAGAGAATGCGATCGCCCCCCTCCGTAATCAACGCGCGCGCCTCCACCAACTCATAATATTGTTCGGGCGTCATTGAGAGGGGGCCCGGATAAGGGGGGACTCCTCGAGGAAGCATTTTTTGTTGGTTGAATTTTGAGGGTTGAGTTGAGTTCGAGAATAGTCGAGGATGGGTCGGATGGTTGTTGTGATATTTTGTCTCGGGTGGTTTTCTGATTGAAAAGTAAAAGTAAAAGTAAGAGTAAAAGTAAAACTAAAACCAAAGTACAATATCTTCCTAAATACTTCTCGAATCAATTTCAACTTCAACTTCAACCTATCAATGAATACCCATGAACCTGAACTATAATTTTTCAATTCGAAAACTGAACAAAGCTAGCTAGGTAGCTCAAGAAGCACAATTTTCCTACCTAGTACTTATTCATTAATCAATCAGTGAATCCCTCTCTCTTGACATTAAATTCACAGACACATACCTTTATTATTGTAGGCATTCAAAGCCCACTCACTCTCTAGCAATTATCAGCACTTTGATTGTTACTATATACACTTTCTCTTTATTAATCAAAGAGACGTCGATGTTTTTTATTTTATTTTATTCTTAGAAAACAAGATCAAGACCAAGAATTCAAAAGGTGAGAGTACTATCCATCTCTAGTATATACGCGACGTATCGAAAAGCCAGCCGAGATACCTACCTACCTACCTACCCAATCCATCCATCCATCACTAAAGAAAGAAACAGCCAGAAACTCCAGCTAACTAATACAGATGATATGTAGCAAAACACAAACAATCACGATCCACCTAGTGAAGCATAAAAGCAAATTGCTTATTACAAATATAGACAGAGACCGTATATATAAAAATTTGAGAGCAAATTTAATTACCTACCTACCTACCTACCTAGGTACCTAGGTATATAGGTAATGTGAATGAATGGATGGATGGAAGGATAAATAAAGACTTGCAAAGAAAACCTTATGGTGATTGATGGTAGTGAATGAGATGGTAGTGAATGAGATGAGATGATATGATACCTATGATATAATATGATATTAGGTAACAAGATCAACAGAATCGAAAAGAGTGAATTGAGAAAAAAAATGAAAGCGAGAAAAGTGAGATGAAGAGTAAATGAATGACAAATAGATGGTGAGAGAGTTATAGAAAGATCCATATCTCAGACTGAGATAGGTATGGATCTCTTGTTTCTAGAGAGAGAGAGACTGTGAGTCCAATATAATGGCTACTAGATAGACATGTGTGAGTGAGTGAGTTCAAAGCACCTCTCACCCAATCCCCAATCCCCAATTTCCAACAAGTCTCTCAACTGGTGAACGAATCGCTCCTCTCCATTGTGATTCTTTTGTCCATTATATTATACCTAGTATCCACGAACCTACTTCTCTGTCCAACTGACCTACACCTACACCTGCATCTGCACTTGCATCTAAACTTATCACACTCTCAAACCTCATCATAAATCAACCCATTCAACCTCCAGCTCTCTCAGTTCTTTCAACCAAAATTCCCAATTAGTGTCTCCTTCCTTTCTCCCTTCCTTTCTCCCTTCCTTTCTCCCTTCCTTTCTCCCTTCCTTTCTCCCAAAAACTCCTCTCCATCTTCTCTTCTTCTCTTCCTCTCAGACATCAACCGACTCCCCATTCCCATCTACATCCCCATCTACCTACATCCCCATCTACATTTCCATCATTTCTTGTTTCTATCTTCTATATATACATATATACATATATACATACATACCTAAATACCTACCTAAATACCTACCTAAATACATACCTACATATAAAAAAGTTACCTATCATTCACAAATATACCAATATAAAATCAAAGTCAAAATCAAAATCAAAGTCAAAGTCAAAGTCGATGATGATATATACTTATGCAAGAAACATTTCATGAAATACTCTTTCTGCATTCATTCTATACCAACCACTCCACGACTACTGCACTATGTTCTGCAAAATGTCACCATGAGTGACTGACTTCATCAACAGGGTGTGCATCGGCTACAAATCTAATGCATCGATGGAAATGAACAAAGGCACTTGCCACCATTAGACAAAAACTTCAACACTTCACAAATTCACAGCATCAATCAGTGCAACTTGACATTTTATATTCTGAATGGTTTCCATTTTATTCATTTACTGGCACACAGTTGTCAAGTTATCAAAATATACAACCAACCACGCAATCCAAAACATCCAATCCAATCCTCGCAATTCAAACAGGCCATTTCCTCTCATCGCAATCAAATTCATCCCTTAACCTTTGTTTCCCCCACTGAAAGTCTAGACGAGATCTAACATTATGCACCTGTCATCCCAACCTATCCCGTCCCATTCCGGCATATCCCAAAAAAACAAAAAACACCAATTGAAATCCCAAACTTCGCATACCCAAACATACTAACATGCACCTTGCCAAATTGGTTGGTTGCAAAATAAAGCAAAAAAAAGACGCACATACGCATACTCCAACGTGTTTCTAATAGATAAATCAATCATTTGAAATGATCAGAAAACAAGTTTTGGCCCCAACCGAACCCCTTAAGTGATGCGTGGATTTTAGTTGCTTCCCAGATAATAAACACACCAACCATGAATCATGGTTCGACAACTATTGTACAGATGTTTGTAGTCGATTGATGCGAAGGAAACGACAGACGTTGGGTATCAGAATTTCAAAAATTGAAGAAAAATGCAGGTATGCAAGACCAGAATCCGAACCGACTTGCCCAGCCCCAAATGACTCCAAGAACAATGCGAATTTATAATAGGTGTGGTAAGTAAAGTTAAAAAAAAAAGATTACGAGGCGATTTCCAAACTTTTTAGTATATGTAATAGTAGTAGTTCGTCTCCAGCAGTTCTTGGAGATATTGCTTCTTTCATATTCATATAATGCTTGCCGCAATAACGTATCCGGAGTTTGGCTTGAATATGACTCCGGGTCAGTGGACCTTTTGGAATGCTATTTTTGTGGCTCGGCTCTGCTGTTAAAATGCACCCTCGAAAGATTAATGTTTGCAGATATGCAGTTTGCCAATCCTTCAAGACTCGTCAACTGGCAGATCGGTATCCTGAATCATGTTGACGTCGGCTTCATCCTCAGCATCAGGATTGACAAGATATGCTAATGGTGCCCAAACCCGCCAGTGTAAAATACCGATATGGGCAATTCTGGTTGCAATATCTGAAATTTCCTCCTTTTGTCCGTTTGCTTGGGTATTGAGGTTCATAAGTCCATTCGTAGGTTTTGGCGACGTGGCCGCATCAAATATCTGGAGACTCGTCAAAGGAGTATACGACTCGACAAGCTTTTGTAACTCGGGGAAAAGTTTCGAGATTATGTACGTTTCTGCTTCTTGATAGATCCTGGACTGTGAATTTGAGAGATGAAATTGAAGATGTGATTCGAATACTGGAAGGCGTGCCATAGGTGTTGGTGTTGAGCGAAGAATTTGCAAAGCAATGTTTGAGGATAACACGGCCCACCTATCTTGTGACGAGGAAGAAGCCAGAAGAGCTTGTAGAGAGGTGCGCACTTGTGACGTAGAGTCGGAATTCTGAATGGACAGGTAAAGTGGTGTTACAGGATACGTCTCGGGCGTAGATGCAGTCGTTGATGGGGATGATCTTGGGCTAGACGTTAAGGAGTCCATAGCTTCGTCTTCTAGATTTGGTACCCATACTTGTCGACCCGAAAGTTCTCTCGAGAAATGACCTCTTTCCTGTACCATGTGATTATACTTGCGTTTGGCTGTAAAGTCATTCTCTGAGGGTACAGTCGGCGCCGAGAGTACACCTTCATCTGCAGGAGAAGAGATATAAGACGAAGCAGCAGGTGTATCATCCTGTGGAACAGATCGGGCCTCGTTCGATTTGGATGCCGCATCAAGTTTGTGATAGAGGAACATACAAATCTCAAGGTTAATTAGATCCAGCATATCCGCACGAAGTTTAACAAGGCGCTCCTCATCGAATAGGAAGGTGTGAGGAACAGGTTCCAAGGCTTTCGATGGTAGGGTTAGATTTACAAGTGCTTTCATGAAGTCCCACGTGTTTCCTTGAGTTCGTGTTGATGCATCCGAGGGAAGACTATCTGGCAAATTTGATGCCTTTCTGAACCAATCATGGGCTGAAGCAATGTCTACTCTACCCATTGCAATCTTTCTTACAAAGAATTTTTGCTCAAATTGGACAGTGTCTTCGATGAGCAGCGGGCGCAAACACCTGATCTGATGATTTGCAACATCCTAAATCACCTATCAGTAAATGTCTATCAGGTACATCTCACATAGAACTTACGAGCTTCATAGCTTCCAAGACACCCAGCAGATTTCGCATTCCGGAGACCAACATTGCCACATCTCCGTTTTGGTTACCCTCACTCAAGTGAACGACCATCTCATCAACCCAACTATCTCTCATTGGCGCACAATGGCACTTCAAGAGTTGTGATAGCCACAACGCAAGTTTATTCAGATCAGCAACGCCTTTTCGAAATTGCTGCATTAATAGATCAACGTTAAAGGTCTCCTCGACCGATGACCGATCCCGCTGTGGGACTAATGTTTCGAGAATGCCTTTGATGGCTTTCAGCGTGGCTGGCAAGCACCACTCCGCATCACCTAAATCTTTCTCGAATTGCTCACGATCTTTACTCATCAAGAAGCCTTCAAGTTGCGATCGCATCGTCTCCCAGAAATCGTTGGCCTTCTGGCTCTTCTTGCGTCCCTTTTCTCCATCGAGATTGGGCCTAAAGTGTAAATCCGGATCGAAGTTAATGTCGTGTCGGAGTTTGGGGTTGTGCACTATCTTATTCACATCGAGTTCACTTAATGTTGATTTGGTGACGGGAGGTTCTAATGCTGGCTTGACCACGGTCTGTGTACTTTTCTTTGACGCATCGGAAACTTCTTGGCTAGACGAGGTTGTCGATCGTTCAAAAGGATATCTGGGGGCCGGATTTGTGGGTGGTGAGCTACTACTAGCTGTGAATGTATTGGTCGATTGTAGACCATATCCCTGAGGGTTGTGGCTGTTAATCTCCCTGGATTCTTGCGGTCTCTCTGTTACCTGAGCCTCGGGTACAGCTCTTCCATCATTATTCGCCGGTCTCTCGGGGGTAGTGGTGATGCTATTCCCACGTTGTCTCTTCCCTGCATCGTGCTCCATTTTGCCCTGATTTCCAACCAAACTTTGTGGTGTTTAACTGCAAAAGTTGTCTCCAGATGATCAAGTTGTTATTATTAGAGAAGAATTGCGCCGTAGTGCAAAAGATGCCAAAAGTAAAACTATTAAAGTACCGTGTTAGTAATTGCCTTTTCTAGTGGCTTGGGCTTCCAGGTATAGTTAATGTGTGTGGGCAAACAACGAGTGAGCTCTGTACTTCGAAGAGTATGATCTCGTGGATGCGGTTGCGGGTAGGAACATTTTCTTGTACACCCATTTCGAGGAGTTCTCGAATCCACACGAAAGAGTTGTTTGTACTTATGCACAAGGCCGGGAACTTGCAAAAAACATACCTCTTTGTGAAACCTGATAGATCCTCTTCGCCCCAATGATTTGACAACCAATGTTTTTTTTTAATTGATTTTTTCCCCCGCCGAATTGAATTGCTAGTGGCGACAATGGTAGTTGTACCGGAAAGGACAGGAATTGGCTGGAAAGCCTTGTTGAATGAATGAAGTCGAGAGGAGGTTGTTGAAAGATGACCACAACAAAGGATGTTCTTTGGAAGCAGAACAATCTAATAAAAGAGGAAAGGGCAATGAGAGATGAAAGCAAAAGATATTAAAGAAGTAAGGAAGGAAAACAATTGAGAGAGAAAATGACAATTGAAGTGTATAATAATTACAATTGTGCGAGTGAGAGTAGTGAGGAGTATCGAGTGTGGTAGTTCTTTGGTTTGGGCTTGGGGGGAATTTTGGGATGGCTGTATGCTGATGTGATAGTGAGTGCTGATGCAGTGGATTGCAGTATATGCAATACTGTAATGCTATGTAAGCGTTTTTTGGTTTTTTTGGTTTTTTGGGTTCTTTATTTCTTTCTTTCTTTTCTTTTCTTGTTTTGATCCTTCTGTGGAATGAAGAGACGGCGAGGAGAGAAAGGAAAGAGCAAAGTTTCGAATTCGAAATCGAATGTGAAAAAGCGGAGGGAGAGAAAGAGAAAGAGAGCAGACGAGAGAGGATCTGAGATTGTGATGGGTCGCAATTGAGACAACAGACGTGCTCTGTTTGGAATGAAAGCCAGGGACGCCTTGACCTTTGGGAAATTCAATAAGCCAGGGAATCGTTCCTTCCACAATCGTCTGGCTATATTATTATATAATATAGCGAAATGGATAGTTAATATGTAATATGTAGATGATAGGTGTGGGAAGAGAGGAGAATGAAAGATGGAGAGAGAGAGAGAGAGAGTGTGTGTGTGTGTGTGTATGTATGTGTATGTGTGTGTGTGTGTGTATGTGTATGTGTGTATTCTTCTTTTTTAATTACAAATTTTTATATCGATCAATGCAAGCTGACTCTCTGAACGATGTTACTTTTGCAAGAGGAAATCGACAATATATTAGGTATAGTGTACCTGGGTATACTCTGGAGGTGTAGTAAGTTGGTGGTATATTATATGTAATAAGAGGGTGAGAGGGCGAGAGGGTAAGAGGGTAAAAGGGTAATAAGAGGGTAAAATGGTAAGAGGAGAGGGTAGGAGGTACAAAGTAAGAGGTAAAATACAAAGTAAGAAGTAAGAAGTAAAAAGTGCCTAGGTAACTTCTTAGCATCATCATTAGTACCTATCTAGTATCTATCTAGTCCCTATTTCTAAGTCTCTCTAGTTCTTTAGTTCTAAATCTTCTCATCTTTTCATCCTTTAGTGTTCCTCAGCTGGACCAGATATTCAATAGACCACCAGATATCCATCCTCGCCTCCCCACGCACGAGTCAATACGACCAGATAGGGCTTGGAGACGATACCACCTACTAGTACCTAGGTAGGTATATGTATGGTATGTGTGTCTGAATCAATCCATTCAATACTTCAATACCCAAGAATGAACCTCATGCCTACCTAGTAGCTGATAAATAGGTAGATAGATTCTTCACAAAATCCTCTTTCCGTCTGTATGGTTCGATTGACGACATGGTTAGTTCATTTAGTTGCGTGATTTGACATCATTCCTATTGCTTTCTTTTTCACACCTAGACAATACTCGTACAATACAATACAATGCAATACAATACATACCTACATGGACAGTACATACATACATAAGTTATTTTTATCCTTTACCGACCGTCTTCCTTAAAAAGAGATTGGTGAAAATATCTGAAAATATCTGAAAATATCTGAAAATATCTGAAAATATCTGAAAATATCTGAAAATATCTCCGAGAATGAGAAAAGAATAAGGATTGGTCATTGTCATGTCGACATTGCCATTGCCATTGCCATTGCCATCACCATTGCCACCGTCGCCTTCACCGTCACTGCCGCCCATCCAAATCTTCATTATTTTTCACACCAACAGTTAGGTTAGGGATCACCAGAAAGTTCCGGAAAAGTTAACGCCTCCTATCTCATCTTTAATGTTATTTTAATACGCCCAATTTATTTATTGCCTGCATGTGCATATGCAGCAGCCTTGCTTTCGCATCGGCAGTGAAAGCAGGCGCGCGGTCCATACTTGAGAGGTGATTGGTGAATTTTGCTCAGGCTCCTGGATATCATGCAGAGATGGATCTGATTCTCACATATACCTTCCCACGATTTCCATGATATCACGACATTGTATTGCAACTCTTCGGCATTCACATTAGAGGTCACACTCCCCATCTGGAAACTTAGATTTCAACGGTTGTTAGATCTTCCTTTAGTATTCCCTAGGCAGACCTTAGGAGACACGGGAAGCTGTGGTAAGGGAAGGAATCAGCCGTGGCCCGTATGATACAGAACCCAGGAGCCTAGGTGAGTGGGAGGTGATAACATCCTAGAGGAATACCAAGTCCATTAAGGATTTAGTAAACTTTCTAGTGAGTTTGGGAGTTTGGTTAATCTTAGCCTTGGTGGACGTTGAAGATTACTTTTCATGCTGCTGATGATACACGCATTCATACGCCAATGCGAGATGCTGACTCGTTGATTAAGTGTGAGGGGAGGGAGAGAACTGAGAACTGAGAACTGAGAACTTTACTTCGTAGAACTTAGAACTCAGAACTCAGAACTCAGAACTCAGAACTCCAAAGCAGGGTTGAATGTCGGCGAAACCGATGCAGCTCAAAGTCTATTATCATCCAGCTTAACTCCGTACAGACTCCAGAATACCTAATAAGTAGTACAAAGGCTAACAGTCCGTATACCCTACATTCTACATTCTACATTCTACATTGATTACTCTATCCTCTATCCTCTATCCTCTATATCCTATACTCTATCCTCTGTATACTCCGTACTTCACCTGTACTCGGTACAGCCTTCATACCAGGATCAACACTAGCCTCTTCTAGGCTTGTTCCAGGCCTCATTATTAGAGTTTTGAACTCCATGTGCTAAACCCCTGGTTTAAAGTCATTTCATTTTTCCTTCTCGTTTTAACAATCGGCAGCCGTGCTATGGGGTCGGGGGTGCACTATCCAGTCAGAAACAATTAGGAATCCCGCAACTACCGCCTTTTCTCGCTTTTTAATCCTTATCCATCGATCCCTCGTCTCGCCTGACGGTCTGAGCCGTCTCGCCTGATATCTTCCGCTACCAAAACCACTTCTCTGATACTTTGATTCTACAGAGCATAGCGCGTTTCCTAATTCGATCTTCTGGGATTCCAAACCCTTGTGGCCGGGTTCATCTTTATGTCATAATAGGTTAGATCCCTACCAATTGACTGGGTGCTGGATTGTCCCCTCTTCTTCAGCCTCGTGCTCACCATTTTTTCACCGAATCACCTCAAGTAACCATGGGTATCCTCGAAGCCCGATTATAAACAATCTCTCCATTTCCTTCTAGAAGCTATCGTCTTGTTAGCTCAGAAAGGATATTCCCTACAGGATTCCTCGAAACAATCTGAAAGATACATCCGTATCAGCTTATCAGCACAACAGGGCCAACGAAGGTAAAAAAAATTAGATCGTGGCCAAAACGGACGGGACCTTCTCACCCAACGGATCAATGCTTAACCAAAGAAACGCTCCAACTCGGGTAGGGACACCATCATTGCTGCACGCAGCCTTACCATCTGAAAACATAAGTATGCAGCAGTAGCTGAATTCGCAAAGGTCGCCGTTCAGGAGCATCAAGATTTTATTACTCAGATCATTTCCACCGATGTAGGGCGTCGCCAGGGGCGTCAGATTTCGCTTCTCAAACTGTAATATGACCGATGCGAAAAGCTGTTCATGATCCTACAAGCCCCTTCTCCAGTGTTCACGTCTTACTACGTACTTTTATTCAGATGACGCCCGGGGACACGGAAAATAGATTCAACCGAATGTAATCTCAGACAATCCTCTTCCTCTGAACAACGGGAAATCTTGAAGAAGGACGGGCTCTTGTGACAACAGAGGAATTGCAACATATCTACGTGTATAAAACTCTGTCCCGTCTTTTCCAAATCATCTGCAAGACTTGGTGTTCCTCGCAGGGCTCACACTGTTACTTCGTATATGAGAATCTATACACAACGTAGTCACAACATCGGCAAGCCCGTCGCTCGTCACCTATCCCACACGTAAGAAAGACCAGGTAAAACTCATCAAACACAATTTCACAAGTCTTTTCAATTCTTGCAACCTCCACGTCTATGTCGTACTCAACACGTACATTACTATAAGAGATGGGTCCGATATATTAACTCGCTGCAAAGCTCACGAGAGACGGACATTGGCATACCTGGGTACCTCCTTACTAGACGTACTATTTGATCACAGTCTAATATGAAATCGATATGCAAACAAACGCAAGAAGCGGAACGATCAACTTCTGTTTGTTTGTCCGTTTTATCGAATTCTTTCCCCCTCCTTCCCTCCCCTTTCACTATCGCCTCCGCCTTATCCACTCCCTGCGAACGGAAAGTAGCCCAAAAGAGGTTCGAGGCTACCGAAGAATGCATTGGTAGCAGTAACATGAGTTTCTAGTAACAACCAGGGGTTTCTGCGGCTACGGTGAAATGAAACTTTGGTGTCATGATGGAAGATTATGGATCAAACATCGATAGTTTTGGAGATCGACTCAAGACTCAAGAGAAAACTCAAATCAAAAACACCCGACGCTTCCACCCCCCATCCCCCCCAAAAAAGTGAGGCGTGCGAGATTTTGCGCCACAAAGGGAACGGACGAGTCTCGGACAATCTCATCTTATCTCATCATCACGTGTTGAATGTTTTTGGAAGCAAAAGTCTCGCGATGTTTGGAATCAATGTGGTCAGATTCTAAGACTCTGAGATTCCTCAAAGCAAGCCAAAGCATCCCAAAGCATCCCAAAGCATCTCGAAACCTACTTGTATACAATCGAGTACGACCTGTCTAGGAACACTATCATATCATACCATTGACTCGTATCTCTCGGGCAACTCTTGAAGGTTACCAATCTTACCATACATGACCTACGAGACGGCTTGGGACTATGAAAGTAAGATCAGTAAGATCCTACATGCTCATCCTGCAACCCCCTTGGACGACTGAACGAATGACTCAAGTTGCCAGAGAAGTTACAAGTTTGGAAAATGCGCCGAAGACTTTGAAAAAACAGTTCTTGGTTTATTCATCCGTCTTGCCTCATATGAACCCTTTCTCGGTGCTCACAATCTCAGCCACCACTTGTTCGTAACCTGGAATCTATTAATCGCCGTCAATATTTCAAGGTTCGCTTTGCATATCAATTTTAAAAAAAAAATTGATTGATTTTTCTCTTCCCCATTCATTTATCCATTTCTTATCATTTCTGCCATTTTGATATTACCAAGCTATCCAAAGGTCTGGGGGGGCCAATTTCAAGATTGGAAATCCGGGAGTTACGGCATGAAGTTTTCCGCATGCTTTGATCGTCCAGTTCTCATTTCTCATTTCTCGTACCGGTATCATTACCATCCGACGATGAGATGAACAGTTGTTATCTACTCCATTCTTTCGAAAAGTTTATTGAATCAAGGATAATCCCATTATACTTTTCCAAGGCATCTTCGTTTCAAAATGGATGTCCTTGCATTTTTGCGCTACGTCGCGGTATTGAAAACACACGTCTCGGAATTAATGATCTATGCGGTAAATGAATTATTGAGTGCTTGCACTTGCATACAATAAATTCCAAGGCAATAAATATATTACTTTGCGCGCGGGCGGACTCGGAAGAATTTCAGCCAACCTCATACTTCACGACATATTATCGATATTGATAAATGTGACGTATATACCATAAAGGTTACATGGAATTTTCCATACTTGACAGGTTCACGAATCAAAGTTTCTGTTGGATTCGGAGATGGTCAAGGTGTTACTCAAAACGCTTGGTCCTCGAATGCTTTCTTGCTTTTCCAAGCGATGTGCAGAATCGAATATGCGGTTCATCTTTCAGAGTGTGGTTTCACAACTGCTTACTTGATACTTGATACTCGAGTCGACCGAAGACGAAGGAACATTAAATACCTATGGAATGCTCCGGGGCTCGAGTCCGCATTTCGGAACAATATCTATGCAGATGTGA